CCCGTTTCTGTCATGAACTCTCTTCTCCACCAGGGGCTCCTATTGAAGCTGGCCAATCAGAGACCATATGCAAATAGCACCACGGCGGCAGCCAATCAGAACACTGGCACATACTCCTCCCGCCACACTTTTGTCCTCCACATACAAGTTTTGACTTTTATTATATACATAGACTAGCTTGGGGACCCGGCGCTGCCCGGGTTATTAGAGAACGTGGGTAATGGCGGTTCTCTATGCCAAGTTTGGTCTTTATTGGTCATTAGATGATGGTTGCATTGTTTTCAGGAAGTGAGTCAAGGTACTTGAAGTCCCATCATCCATGGTCAACCCTCCTCCAAACAGCAGCAGTATATAGAGTGGGTCATGGGGGCTCTGTGTGCCAAGTTTGGTCTTTATCAGTCATTGGATGAGGGTGGCAGTGGTTTCAGTAAGTGAGTGAAGGTACTGCAAGTCCCATCATCCAAAGTCCATCCTCCTTCAAACTGCAGCAGGATGCAGAGTGGGTCATGGGGGCTCTGTGTGCTAGGTTTGGTCTTGATTGGTCATTGGATGACTGTTGCAGAAGTCTTGGGATGTGAGTGGAGGTACTTGAAGTCCCATCTGTCCTCCCCCAAACCTCACCAGAATGTTGAGTTGGCCAAGGGGGCTCTCTATGCCAAGTTTGGTCTTTCTTGGTATTTGGATAAGTGTCACTGTGGTTTCAGGAAGTGAGTGAAGTACTGGAAGTCCCATCATCCATCGTCCGCCCTCCTCCAAACAGCATCGGGATGTAGAGCTGTTCATGGGGGCTCTGTGTGCCAAGTGTGGTCTTGATCGGACATTAGATGAGGGTTGCAGTAGTCTTTGGAAGGGAGTGGATGTACTTGAAGTCCCATCATCCATGGTCTATCCTCCTCAAAAGTGCACCAGGATGTAGAGTGGGTCATGGGGACTCTGTGTGCCATGTTTGGCCTTGATCAGTCATTGGCAAGGGTCTCAGTGGTCTTAGGAAGTGAGTGAAGTGACTGCAAGTCCCATCATCCATTTCCAAATTTTTCCAAACTGCACCAGGATGTAGAGTGGGTCATGCGGGCTCTCTGTGCGAATTGTGATCCTGACCCATCACTGTTGGCAGTTGCAATGGTCTCAGCAAGGGAGTGCAGGTATTGCAAGTCCCATCATCCATGGTGCATCCTCCTCCAAGCCGCACCAGGATGTAGAGCGGGTCATGGAGACTCAGTGTGCCAAGTTTGGTCTTTATCGGTAATTGGATGAGGGTTGCAGTGGTCTCAAGAATTGAGCAAAGGTACTGCAAGTCCCATAATCCATGGTCCATCCCCGGCCAAACCACACCAGGACGTAAAGTGGGTCATGAGAGGTCTATGTGCCAAGTTTGGTCCTGATCAGTCATTGGATGAGGTTAACAGCGGTCTCAGAATGTGAGTGATGGTACTGCAAGTCCCATCATCCATGGTTGCAGTAGGATGTCGAGTCGGTCTTGCAGGCTCTGTGTGCCAAGTGTGGTCTGTATTGGTAATTTTCTGACTCAGCCCCCTCTGGCCTTTTCCTTTCCTCTCTTTGTCATCTCGGAATCTTGGAATTGAGGCTGGCCAATCAGAGACCATATGCAAATTTCCTTCTCATGTCCCCGTTTCTGCCATGAACTCTTTTCTCCACCAGGGGCTCCTATTGAAGCTGGCCAATCAGAGACCATATGCAAATAGCACCACTGCGGCAGCCAATCCGAATGTTGGAACTTTCAGGCTGGCCAATCATAATGCTGGCACATACACCGCCACACCACCGCACTTTTGTCCTCCACATACAAACTTACACCTTTATTATATGTATAGAAGATATAGATTTGTGCTATGGAAACATAGAATCATATTGGAAGAGACTTCATGGGCCATCCAGTCCAACCCCTTTCTGCCAAGAAGCAGGAAAATTGCATTCAAAGCATCCCCGACAGATGGCCATCCAGCCTCTGTTTAAAAGCCTCCAAAGAAGGAGCCTCCACCACACTCCAGGGCAGAGAGTTCCACTTCTGAACAGTTCTCACAGTCAGGAAGTTCTTCCTCATGATCAGATGGAATCTCCTTTCTTGTAGTTTGAAGTTTGTGTAAATAGTGCAATTATATTATTTTACGACAAAGAAAAGCTTCCTAAGGAAGAGATAGCACTGGTCTGTGTGTTTTTGTTCTTTTTATTATTTTGGGCTACTGGCGCTGGGTCAAACTGCTGCTAATAAATTACTCTGCTGTACATTTATGAGGAGTGTCTTTTATTAAATAGCCCACTTGCCCAACGGTTTTCTCTCATATAAACATACTAGCTGTCCCCTGCCACGCATTGCTGTGGCCCAGTCTGGTGATCTGGAAAATAAAGTAATGTGAAAGTGTTGGTTTCTAATCTATGGAATGTCTTTATGATTGTGGGTAAACAGTATTTCTTGCTGTTTCTTTGTCAGTGTTGATGTGGAGAGTGTCTGGCTTGCCCACACTGGAACATGCAAGATATCATTGTCCTTCTTTAAGGATCCCTTTCAAATCTATGATACTACATCTCTGTGTGTGTGAATCATATCTATCTATCTATCTATCTATCTATCTATCTATCTATCTAGAAAACCAAAGTGCTGTTCCAGCAGTCACCAGCCATCCCCTCCCCAATGCCAGAGATACAACTTAAAGGTGTAACACTAGAAAATGTTGACCATTTCCGCTACCTTGGCAGCCACCTCTCCACCAAAGTCAACATCAACACCGAAATACACCGCCTGAGCTCTGCGAGTGCAGCATTTTCCTGAATGAAACAGAGAGTGTTTGAGGACCAGGACATCCGTAGGGATACCAAGGTTCTTGTCTTATAAAGTCATTGTCCTCCCAACCCTGCTATACTCCTGCCTGTGAAACATGGACTGTCTGCAGTCGTCACATGCAACTCGTGGAACGATTCCATCAGTGCTGCCTCCGGAAAATCCTGCAAATATCTTGGGAAGACGAGCGGACAAACGTCAGCGTGCTGGAAGGAGCAAAGACCACCAGCATTGAAGCGATGGTCCTCTGCCATCAACTCCGCTGGACCGGCCACGTTGTCCGGATGCCTGACCACCATCTCCCAAAGCAGTTGCTCTACTCTGAACTTAAGAACGGAAAACGGAATGTTGGAGGACAGGAAAAGAGATCTAAAGATGGCCTCAAAGCCAACCTTAAAAACTCTGGCATAGACACTGAGAACTGGGAAGCCCTGGCCCTTGACCGCTCCAGCTGGAGGTCAGCTGTGACCAGCAGTGCTGCAGAATTCGAGGAGGCACGAGTGGAGGGTGAAAGAGAGAAACGTGCCAGGAGGAAGGCGCGTCAAGCCAACCCTGACCGGGACCGCTTTCCACCTGGAAACCAATGCCTTCACTGTGGGAGAAGATGCGGGTCAAGAATAGGGCTCCACAGCCACCTACAAACCCACAAAAATAGTCATCAAGGAAGACCATCTTACTCGTCCAACGAGGGATCGCCTAAGTAAGTAAGTAAGTAAGTACTATCTATCTATGGCTGGATGGCTCTTTGTCAGGAGGACTTTGATTACGTTTTCTTGCCCTGATGAAGGGAGTTGGATTGGATGACCTTAAGTATTTTCTGTCGTTCGTGGGGTTCAGAATGCTCTTTGATTGTAGGTGAACTGTGAATCCCAGTGACTACAACTCTCAAATGTCAAGGTCTATTTTCCCCAAACTCCATCTGTTTTTATATTTGGGCATATTGAGTCCACAGTGCTCTCTGGATGTAGGTGAACTACAACTCCAAATCCAAAGGACACTGCCCACCAAACCCTTCCAGTATTTTCTGTTGGTCATGGGAGAACTGTGTGCCAAGTTTGGTTCAATTCCATCGTTGGTGGGGTTCAGAATGCTCTTTGATTGTAGGTGAACTATAAATCCCAGCAACTACAACTCGCAAATGACAAAATCAATTTTTGAGTGCAGGACATAAGTTGGGTTGTTAGGTGTCTTGTGTCCAAATTTGGTGTCAATTTGTCCAGTGGTTTTTGAGTTCTGTTAATCCCATAAACGAACATTACATTTTATTTATATAGATAGCCACAGGAAATCCTGCAGATCGAAAGGTTGGCAGTTCAAGCCCTAGTCAGGGTGAGCGCCTGCCATCAGTCCCAACTTCCGCTCACTTAGCAAATCGAAAACAGAAGTGTGAATAGATAGATACTACTTTAAGCGGGGAGGTAAGAAAAGGCGCCCAAATGGACATGCCTGTGATTCGATTGGGAGGACGTCTATGGACATGGAAGATGGAGCAACAGCACCCCCCTGTGGCCAAAATCGAGCACAGCCTCCAAATGCCGGAAATGGGAAAAGATGGGAAAAAGCCTTTACCCCTGTTTATGTATTGTCTGTCCTTGTTAACTGCCTAATGGCATTGAATATTTGCCGTATATGCGTTCTGGGAAGATAGAGCAGAATATAAACAAAGTATATTATCTCTAAAAATGGGGAGCATCTTAGAATCACAGGTATATCGTATGTATTTTGACTTGGTTCTGAAATTAGGCTGTGTCTTACAATTGAAGAAATACAATACCGGGTTGTTGTAGATTTTTTGGGCTATATGGCCATGCTCTAGAAGCATTCTCTCCTGACGTTTCGCCTGCATCTATGGCAAGCATCCTCAGAGGTTGTGAGGATGCTTGCCATAGATGCAGGCGAAACGTCAGGAGAGAATGCTTCTAGAACATGGCCATATAGCCCGAAAAACCTACAACAACCCAGTGATTCCAGCCATGAAAGCCTTTGACAATACATTAAATACAATATTTACAGGAGTTCCTCTCCTCAACCTTTTGTGAATACAGCAGCACAAATATCTAAGTTAAACAACACAGTTAATGACATTAACTACTACTAGATAATGTAGACACACATGACTTCAGAAGGAAAGAACAATATGCATAGATTTAGCAGAGTAATGACTTGTGTTCAACCCAACATAGTTGAAATATATAAAATTTACCTGAAGCGATCCATCTGTTGTTCTCCCTTTAGTATCTCTTGTATTACGTTGACGATTATCTGTCCTTGACTGTTCATCATTTCCTGGAGGGTTTTCAGAAAGATTTTGTGAAAATCTCATTATCTTGGACTTTGTATTCGCTAGAATACTTGTGCCTATGGTTGTTGCATGTGTAGAAACAATGTCCTATTAAGACAATGCCTGTGTGCTGCTATCATCCAGATAGCAGCACATTCTCTCTTTTCTACAAGGTGTACCAATTGTTACTTGAAAGCTGTCCAAAGAACTCTTTTTATTGATGGAACTTTAAGAATGTGAAGAAATTAAGAACAAAATCAGTTCTTTATTGACATTGCACAGCTCCAAGCTGCAGCATACTCAGACTGCCATAAAAACTGAAAAACAGTATGTTATGGAAGAGATCATAATTATCAGGACAGAATATTAAAAGGGAATTGTCATAAATATTAAAAATTAACTACTGTATATACTCGAGTATAAGCCTAGTTTTTCAGCCCCCTTTTTTGGACTGAAAAATCTCCCCTCGGCTTATACTTGAGTCAATGTTATTTACTATTTTTACTCTGTTATTAGTATTACTTTTATTGCATTTATTATTTTACTTTATTTATTATTATTATATTTATTATTTTATTCTTTATTGTTATAACATTTATTATTTTACTCTATTATTGTTGTTATTACATTTATTATTTCGCTCTATTTATTATTGTTATTATTACATTTATTATTTTACTCTCATAACTGTTATTACATTTCCATTATTTTACTCTATTGTTCTTTTTATTACATTTATTATTTTACCCCCTTTATTATTATTGGAAGGATATGTAAGCACATTTACATTGAAGAAGGTTAGAATAATGGTTTAATCAGAGTTGGACAGCTTTATCTTAAATTACAATTTTATTTAATATTTACTCTACTGATGCCCCAATTAATGTAATTTTACTAGTATCTATTTTTATTTTGAAATTCACCAGTAGTAGCTGCATTTCTCACCCTTGGCTTATACTTGAGTCAATATGTTTTCCCAGTTTTTTGTCATAAAATTAGGTACCTCGGCTTATAGTCGGGTCGGCTTATACTCAAGTATATACGGTAGTTATTTTTAATTACAAAAATGTGAGTCAACACTGAAAGGGTTAAATGGATGCAATGACTTAGCAAAAGCTGCAGTTCTATATAAGCAGGTGTGCATGTAGCTTAGCAGTAGTCAGTCTGAGGTAAACCTCAGTGGGAGAAAGGTCTCAGCCTGTGAGAAAGCCTCACAGTGTGAGGCTTTGAGTCGCCTGAGGGCTGAGAAAAGCGGTATAGAAATAAAGTAAATAAATAAATAAATAAATAAGTCTGAGTCTATCCGTGCTATGACTTGTAAGAAGCATTGCCTGACTATCAAGCAAAAAGTGGGTGCTAGAAATAATATCGTATGAAACTTGACTGACATAACCTGGGGATCACAACTACTCTGCTGCCGAATAAAAATGCCCACTGTGATACACATCTCATCACATTAAAGCAGTGGATGTGACATGCTGTATTATCGCATCTCACCACAATAAAACAGTGGATGTGGCTCTTAATGAGACATGCCGCATTATCACGGGGTGTCTGCGCCCCACAACACTGGAGAAATTACACTTCTTAGCCGGTATTGCACCACCTGACATCCGCCGGGAAGTAGCAGCCAATAGTGAAAGGACCAAGGCAGAGACATCTCCAGCTCATTCTCTGTTTGGGTATCAGCAGCACGTCAACGCCTTAAATCAAGACATAGTTTTCTTAGATCTACAGAGACACTCGCTGGAACACCCCAGCAAGCGTGAGTCCAAAAGTGGCAGGCCCAAATCCAGCACCTCAATCCATGGGTGATACCAGATGAGAGACTCCCCCCTGGGCACACAGAAGACTGGGCGACTTGGAAGGCGCTGAACAGACTGCGCTGGCACCACAAGATGCAGAGCCAACCTTCAGAAATGGGGCTACAAAGTGGAATCCACGACATAGCGAGTGTGGAGAAGAACAAACCACTGACCACCTGCTGCAATGCACCCTGAGCCCTGCCACATGCACAATGGAGGACCTTCTTGCGGCAACACCAGAGGCACTCCAAGTGGCCAGATACTGGTCAAAGGACATTTAACCAACTACCAAGTTTGCAAAATCTGTTTTTTTTTTTTAATCTGTGTGTTTGTTTTGTTCTGTTAGAAATGTAATACAATGGTATGGTTGCTGATGACACGATAAATAAATAAAATCGCAGGCTAAAAAGGGGAGTAGTCAGTGCTGGCATGGATGCCATCAGAAATGGCGGTTTGTGCACATGATGTGGGAATGAAAATATGTACAATATTTTTGGCAGACTATAAAAAATGAGTCAAATCAAATACTAGGAAATGAGTAGGTCATAACAAAGGAAATAGCGGTATTAAAAAAGAGGAAATGGGAAATAAAAGGGAAATAAAAGAAGCAATAATTGAATGTGCACAAGCAGTAATAGTATAAGGGTGGAAAAATAAATCAAAATGGACAGTTAATAAATGGTACCAATATATGGTGGAGCAAATTGAATTCAAAATTTTGAAGGTGAAATTAAATGATTTAAAAAACAATCAAAATAGAATGAGAGAAATGGAAGAAAGATGGACAAGGGTAAAGAACTATATTTTGAATCAATCCGGAGATCATGCCATAAGAAATAAGATACAAATGTTATATAGTATATAGGATGGAAATGTATAAAGATAAAGATATAAAGATTGTCTCAAAAAGAAATGAATATGTAAAAGAAAACAATCCTCGTGTTGGTAGTGGGAATTGTAAATGTTTTGTGTGTGTACGATATGTATTTTTTTTAAAAAGTATTATAGCAGGATGTCTACACCCCACACCACTGGAAAAATTATATTGCTTAGCCAACATTACACTGAAAAAGATGTAGTTTTATAAGATTTTATAGATGCTATATGGGATTAGAAATCCCATCTGTAGAGTATACAGATGGAACCTCAATCCGTGGCTGAGACCAGATGATAAACACCCTCCTGGGGACAGAGAAGACTGGTGACTTGGAAGGCGCTGAACAGACTACGCTCTGGTACCACAAGATGCAGAGCCAACCTTAAGAAATGTGTCTACAAAGTGGAGTCCACGGCATGTGAGTGTGGAGAAGAGCAAACCACAGACCACTTATTACAATGCAGTCTGGCCCCTGCTACAATGGAGGACCATCTTACAGCCACACCAGAGGCACTTGAAATGTCAAAGGACATTTAGTATCATGCCAAGTTTTTAACTCTGTTACCCTCAATTTATCATGTCAGAAGCGATTCTGACATGATAAATAAATAAATGAGGCATATGGTTTTGGTCTTGCCATTTTTAAAGGACATCTGAGGAAAATGTCTGTCCCTCAGTTTCAAATCTATCCACTGTAGAGGACTTAGATAGGACTCTTAAGTTTGTTGGTTCCTCTGATGTGGTCAAGCAACTGACCTTTGAAGCCCCCTCGGCCTCGGCCGCCTTGGCCACGCGCCCCTCCGCCACGTCTCCGGCCATCTCCTCGGCGAAGGTAGTTGTCCCGTTCTTCTTCTGCTGGGGCTAACGACCAGTCGCTAAGTTCGTCTCGGTGGTCAGACTCTGTTTCAGAAGCATTTGATGCTTCAGAGTTAGTTCCTATCAAGAGTTTAAAAAAACCAAGACATACCACAGTCTGTTTTCATATCTTGTAAAAAACCAACCAACTGCTTGGAGGAGGCTCTTGTCCATAGAAAGCTCACACTAATGAATTTACCCATCTTATAGGGACTTGGGTAATTTTTCCTGACACAGCAAACATGGAAACCGTTTTGTAAAGACACCAGATCAGCCAGGAAACAGGATTCTTCCTGTAGTATTTCTCAATGGCAATGGAGGCTTTATTGCAATGGAATCAAACTTGTGGCCTTCCAGGTGTTTTGTACTTCAGTTCACAGAATTTCTGGCAATTGGACAAGCTGGCTAGGGTTTCTGGGAGCTGGAGACGCAAGTGTGAGACAAGACTGAAAGAATTAGTAGGCCGAAGCCTGTTAGAGTAAGTGGGCCAAAGCTAGTGTTGTTCTGAGAAGTGTGAGGTAAACCTCTGTGTGAGAGAAGCCTCAAGTGAGAAAGCTCCAATATAAATGCTGCTGTGTGTAAAAAGCTACTGTGTGAAGCTCCAGTATAAGTTCTTTGTTAGAGGAGGCTCTGTGAGAGCAAAGCCCCAGGTTGAAGGCCTTCTGTGTGTAAAAAGCTCCTGTGTGGAGCTCCTGTGTAAGTTCAGTGTGAGAGAAAGCTCAGTGAGAGTGAAGCTGCATGAGGAAGGGAAGCAAAGAAGTAAGTATAAAGGACTTTATTTGTGTTATGGAAACCTTGCCTTTTTTAATGTAACCATATTATTTTACTACAAAGAAAAGTCTCCTATGGGAGAGATAACATTGGTCTGTAAGTTTTTGTTCTTTTTATCACTTTGAGCTACTGGTGTTGGGTCACGCTGCTGTACATTTATGGGGAGGGTCTTTTGTTAATAAGCCCTCTCGCCCAACTAGGGTTATGGGCCCAGCACGCTTTCTAAATAGATTAAAATTTGTGGCCTTCCAGGTGTTTTGGACTTCAGCTCACAGAATTCCTGGCAATTGTACAAGCTGACTAGGGCTTCTGGGAGTTGGAGGCCCAAACAACTGAAAGACCACAAGTTTGACACCCGTTTCACTGCATTTTCATTTGGGATGATTCAAAGAGTTTAGCCTTTTTAGAAGAGCGACCTTACCTCCAGAAGCCTTATTATTACAATACAGCATTTGAAGTATGAGATAACTTTGCTAAAGGGCTTGAAAGACATGTTATGCACATGCTGACAGCCAGATGAGCAATCTGGTGCGATCCTTCAACTACTACAATATGAATTAGATTTTCTTTAACAAGAATAATATGCAGATTAAAGTACGATCACAAGGATTTGCTGATATAGACTACAATAATAATAATAATAATAATAATAATAATAATAATAATAAAAACTTTATTTATACCCCGCCACCATCTCCCCAAGGGGACTCGAGGCGGCTTACATGAGGCCAAGCCCAACAACACATCAGTAAAAACAAAACAGCAAGCAAATAAAACAGTACAATTAATATAGCTTACATATAAACAACAACACAGAGAATTTAAAAGCTTATGACCGGGCCAGATGTAATAAATTAATTTTTTTAAAATAAACACTGGGTGTGAACAGAGGTAGGATGTATCTAAGCAGGAGGGTTTTAAAAGATAATGTAGGGAGACCAACCCAACAGATAGTAAAGTGTTTCTGAGGACAATTGCAGGGAATTAATCAGAGCAGGGCATTGTTTCCAGATTCAGGGAAGGCACACTGGAACAGCCATGTTTTCAGGCTCCTCCTAAAGACTGCCAATGTGGGGGCTTGTCTGATATCCTTGGGGAGTGAGTTCCAGAATCGGGGGGCCACCACAGAGAAGGCCCTCTCCCTCATCCCCACCAATCGCGCCTGCGAAGGGGGCGGGAGCAAGAGCAGGGCCTCTCCAGCTGATCGAAGAGATCACGTGGGTTCGTACACAGAAATAATACAGCTCTTGTGACAGCTGTATTAGCTAATTGAATAATTAATGCATTTATGCACTGATACCAATTTGATTCTATTTATTCTAATTATTCAAACATTTAAAAAGAACTTCAAAACCTGGCTTTTCCGCTGTGCCTTTGGCGAGTAGGTGCACATCATGATATTTTACACCCCCTCAACATTTTCGGCGAATGGAGTTTGTGCCCTCCAAATAGGATGTTCTGTCCCACAACTCTGTGTTTTATGAGTTCCATTTTAACATCCTGCTCCTATTTTATCTCATCATAGTCTGTTAATTGCTCTTTATTTGGAATATGTGGCGCGCCCATTGTCATCTCTATTGTGATTGTGTCTATTGGAATTTTTATTTTATTTTATTACTATTATTATTTTATTATCATTTTTAATGTCATTTTGATAATGTTGTTGTTGTCTATTATATATGTTTGGATTTTATTGCTGTATTTTGTTGTCCGGGCTTGGCCCCATGTAACAAATTGAAACTGAATCCAGACAAGACAGAGGTCCTACTGGTCAGTCGTAAGGCCGAACAGGGCATAGGGTTACAGCTTGTGCTGGACGGAGTTACACTCTCCCTGAAGGCGCAGGTTCGCAGCCTGGGAGTGATCCTGGACTCATCACTGAGCCTGGAACCTCAGGTCTCAGCGGCGGCCAGGAGAGCTTTTGCACAACTAAAACTTGTGCACCAGTTGCGCCCGTACCTTGGGAAGTCTGATCTGGCCACAGTGGTCCACGCTCTTGTTACATCCCGAATAGACTACTGCAACACACTCTACGTGGGGTTGCCTTTGAAGACTGTTCGGAAACTTCAACTAGTCCAACGGGCGGCAGCCAGATTGCTCACCGGAGCGACATACAGGGAGCACACCACCCCCCTGCTGTGTCAGCTCCACTGGCTGCCGGTTCAGTTCCGAGCACAATTCAAGGTGCTGTTTTTGATCTACAAAACCCTTTACGGTTCCGGTCCAGTGTATCTGTCCGAACGTATCTCCCTCTACGTCCCACCCCGGAAATTGAGATCATCTGGGGAGGCCCTGCTCTCGACCCCACCGCTATCACAAGTGAGGCTGGTGGGGACGAGGAGCAGGGCCTTCTCAGTGGTGGCCCCTCACCTGTGGAACTCACTCCCAGGGGAAATTAGGGCATCAACATCCCTCCTCTCCTTCAGGAGGAAGGTAAAGACGTGGTTGTGGGACCAGGCCTTTGGGCAATCTGATAACTAGATATGGACAACCAGATGGATAGGACTGAAAGGACTGACAATGTGGAATTGGAATTTGAACTATGATATTGCGAAACGCTGACCATCAATGAGGAGAAATGGTTTGTATTGGTTTTATTGCTTTTATTGGTTTTATGGTTGTTTTTGCCTTACAATAATTATTGTTTTCTGTTAATTGATGTTATTGCTAGAATTGCTGTTTTCTGTTAACTGATGTTATTTGTCTTATTGCTGTTATGTGATGCCGGCATTGAATTGTGCCTTGCTTTTGTAAGCCGCCTTGAGTCCCCTCCGGGGTGAGAAGGGTGGGGTAGAAGCAACCGAAATAAATAAATAAATAAATAAAATAAGCTGCTCCGAGTCCCCATCGGGGAGATGGTGGCGGGGTAGAAATAAAATTTATTATTATTATATTATTTATTATTCAATTAGCCTTACTGCAAAAACTACACATCATAGAGAAAAAATAAACACAGATCCGAATTCAGCTCAAAAAACCATAAGAATGACCTAAAATCATATCTGGCCTGAAATATGAAAACAGCTGGAACAATCTTTCAGCAAATCAGTTATCAGCTAAGTAAATAAGTTTATATTTCAGAATGAACACTACATTCACTATATATGAATATTTAGCATCCCATATGGCTCAACATGTCAGAACACAAGGCTGCACTTGGGGAACCAAGCTGAGCCATGATACACATTGAGCAATCCCAAATCATAATTTCAACCTGCCCCACAGTATCGTGCTAAGATTCAGAAGGGAAAGAAATCCCATACACTAGTTTTGGATATTTTGAGCTGATACAAATGAGGACATTTGGACAGGCAACAAATAACGGAACGAATGAGGCAACAGAGGTAGCAGGCTATAAATATAACACATTTTCTTATATGCAACCCATTCATGCTTTCAGGGCTGTTAAAAGTTCATAAACTACTACTTTTCCTAAAATCCCAAGATACAACCATTCTGAATAAAAACGACAAGAGTAGATGAAACCCAGGACACACACAACGTACCTGAAGCATAGCCTGGACCGCGCCTGCTGTGGCCCCTGTTTCTGTAGGGCCGGCTCCCTCGCCCAAGCCCTGGGCCGTCATCAGTCGACATGTAGCCCTTTTCTTTATCCGTGCGATTGGGCGGAGGTCGAGACGTGGCTCCAATCTGCCGAAGCTGTTCATCAATTTGCAGTCTTTCCAAACGCAGTTGATCCACTTCCTATAGGAAAGAAATGACTGAGTTGGTGCTAATGGTTTATTTATTTATCGTGCCAGGAGGAACCAGACAGTTGTATTACATTTTTAACAAAACAAAACAAAACAAACAGACAAAACACCAAGTTTGCAAGTTTGGTAGTTGATTAAATGTCCTTTGACCAGTATCTGGCCAATTGGAGTGCCTCTGGTGTTGCTGCAAGAAGGTCCTCCATTGTGCATGTGGCAGGGCTCAGGTTGCATTGCAGCAGGTGGTCTGTAATTTGCTCTTCTCCACACTCGCATGTCATGGACTCCACTTTGTGGCCCCATTTCTTAAGGTTGGCTCTGCATCTCGTGGTGCCACAGCACAGTCTGTTCAGTGCCTTCCAAGTCGCCCAGTTTTCTGTGTGTCCAGGGGGGAGCCTCTCATTTGGTATCAGCCACTGATTGAGGTTCTGGGTTTGAGCCTGCCACTTTTGGACTCTCGCTTGCTGAGGTGTTCCACTAAGTGTCTTTGTAGATCTTAGAAAACTATTTCTTGATTTAAGTTGTTGATGTGCTGGCTGATACCCAAACAGGGGGTGTGCTGGAGATGTCACTGCCTTGGTCCTTTCACTACTGGCTGCTACTTCCTGGCGGATGTCAGGTGGTGCAATATTGGCAAAATAGCCACTGTTTTAGCATGGTGAGATGCGTTCCACACTGGGCATGTGTACTCAGCAGCAGAGTAGCAAAGTGCATGGGCAGATGTCTTTACTGTGTCTGGTTGTGATCCCCAGGTTGTGCCAGTCAGCTTTCGTATGATATTGTTTCTAGTGCCCATGTTTTGCTTGATGTTCAGGCAGTGCTTCTTGTAGGCCAGAGCACGGTCCAGGGTGACTGCCAGGTATTTGGGTGTGCTTCAATGCTCCAGTGGGATTCCTTCCCAGGTCATCCTCAGAACTTGTGATGCTTGTCTGTTCTTAAGGTGAAAATATAGGTTGCTTACCTGTAAACGTAGTTTCCCAAGTGGTCACCTGTGTATTTGCACATATGGTAATAATCCTGCGCTCGCGCAGGCAACAACGGAAAGATCTCGAGACTACAAAGACAGTTAGAGCAGCCCCGCCCTCCTCTGTTCCCTCTATAAATAGCCCTCAGAAGGGGCTGCACTCAGTTCTTCCGACGTCAAAAAGCAGCCAGAAGTCCTGAGGCATGACAAAAAAGAGACTGGAAGGCCCGCAGCGTCATTCCTATATTTCAAAAATAGTCGTGTGGACTTCCTATACTGTCTGGTTCTATCTACGTAGTAAATGAGTGCTCTACGCACGTTTAATAAATGCAGCCTCTTCTCCAGTGGAGAAACAGGATCCCGAAAAAGGGCTGGTAACACCATTTCCTGCGATATATGGAATCTACTCGTGGCTTTGGGAAGGAAAGAAACATCAGTCCTCAAAACTACCTTGTTCCTATGGAACCTTATGTAAGGTTCATCACACCTCAATGCGCACAACTCTCCTGCCCTATGAGCCGATGTAACAGCAACTAGAAAAGCTGTCTTCCAGGACAAATAGGTTATATCCACTGTCGCCAAAGGTTCAAATGGAGGCTTAGTCAAGGCTGTGAGCACCAGTTCCAGGTTCCATGGTGCGACCACCGGTGAGACCGGCGGTTTTAAATTCTTCAAACCTTTCATAAAGAGCGACACCAAAGGGTCAGTGAAACAAGAAGGCAAATTTACCTTCCTCCTAAACCAAGATAGGGCCGCAAGGTAGCACTTCAGTGACGACCAAGACAACTTTACATCCACTAAATGCGCTAAAAAATCTAAAATCGAGGAAATTGGGGCTTTAAAGGGTTCCACATTCCTTTCTGAAGCAAATTTCGTGAATCTCTTCCATTTATAAACATAAGATCTTTTTGTTGACCGTCTCTGGGCTGCTTCCATAATTTTCCTTACTGGTGTTGAAAGCGGAGGTACTTGGCTTATTGGACTGGGAATATGCGCCATGCCGTCAACCTCAAGCTGTGGACATCCGGGTACAGAACCCGACCATCTTGTTCTGACAGTAGGTCCTCCTGCTTTGGAAGCGGCTTGAAAATCCCCCTGGACATCTGAAGGGTCAAAGAGAACCAAGGCTGCCTTGGCCACCAAGGAGTTATCAAGATACCCTGTGCTTGATCGTGAAGCAACTTTGACACCACTCGAAGTATGATGGGAAACGGAGGAAACAAATAAATCCTCCTTTCTCCCCAGTGCAGCAGGAAAGCATCCCCGAGGCAGATCGGCATTGCATTCCGGTACTCCCGAGCGCAGAACAGTCGGCATTGACTGTTCTTTACTGATGCAAAAAGATCTACCTCTGGTTCGCCCCAAACCTGAAAAAGTAGAGCTGTCACCTGTCTGTTTAGAGTCCACTCGTGGTGGGCGAGAGGATTTCTGCTCAAATAATCCGCTAGCACATTTTGCTCCCCTGGCAGGTGGATTGCTAACAGGTGTATGCCCTGTTCTATACACCAATTCCAAACCTTGAGTGTCATTGCTAGTAGCCCTTTGGAATGTGTCCCTCCCTGCTTGTTTATGTAAAACATCACGGTGGTGTTGTCTGTAACCAACTGGACCACCTGATTTCTTAGAACTGGTTCGAACGACTTTAAAGCTTTCTCTACTGCGAGTAGTTCTAGGAGGTTTATATGATTTTTGGACTCTAATGTTGTCCAAGTCCCTTGGGTTGTTAGCCCATCCACATGTGCTCCCCAACCCATGAGAGAGGAGTCCGTAGTTAGAATTTTTGTAGGTCTGAGCTGTTGGAATGGCAGACCAATACACACATTCTGGCGCTCTGACCACCACTTTAGTTCCTTGCGTTGCTCCCCAGGAAAAGATAGGTGCATACTGGATCTGTGTAACAACGGGTTGAAAACCGACAGGAACCAAGACTGTAGTGGTCTGAGGTGAAGTCGTGCATGCGGAGTCACTGCAGTCGTTGACGCCATGTGGCCTAACAGAATTTGGACCTGTTTTGCTTTGACGACATCTCGTTGTACTGCCTGTAGCACTAAGTTTTGTAACTTTACGAAACGTTCTTCGGGCAGGTAAGCCCTCTGCGACTCCGAATCCAGAAGGGCTCCAATGAACTGCATTCGTCTTGAAGGAATGAGATTGGATTTCTCCCAGTTCACTATCAGACCTAGGGACTGGAGAAGAGCTCCTTTCCACCTGCTACTAAGGAGGCTGTCGAGGTCCTGAACCGGTGCTTGGCCGCTGTGATGGTCTGGATGAGGGCGAACAAATTGAAATTGAATCCAGACAAGACAGAGGTACTCCTGGTCAGTCGTAAGGCCGAACAGGGCATAGGGTTACAGCCTGTGTTGGATGGGGTCGCACTCCCCCTGAAGACGCAGGTTCGCAGTTTGGGTGTGATCCTGGACTCATCGCTGAGCCTGGGACCCCAGGTTTCGGCGGTGACCAGGGGAGCATTCGCACAGTTAAAACTCGTGCGCCAACTGCGCCCGTACCTTGGGAAGTCTGACTTGGCCACGGTAGTCCACGCTCTGGTTACATCCCGTTTAGACTACTGCAACGCTCTCTACGTGGGGTTGCCTTTGAAGACGGCTCGGAAGCTCCAATTAGTCCAACGGTCGGCAGCCATGATACTAACAGGAGCGGAGCACAGGGAGCATACAACTCCTCTGCTGCACCAGCTCCACTGGCTGCCGATTTGCTACCGGGCTCAATTCAAAGTGCTGGTGTTGGCCTTTAAAGCCCTAAACGGTTCTGGCCCAACCTACCTATCCGAACGTATCTCGGCCTATCAGCCCACCAGGACCCTAAGATCTTCTGGGGAGGCCCTGCTCTCTATCCCGCCTGCTTCACAGGTGCGGCTGGCGGGGACGAGAGACAGGGCCTTTTCTGTGGTGGCCCCTCGGCTATGGAACGCCCTTCCCATGGAGGTAAGATCAGCCCCCTCGCTGATGGTGTTCCGAAGAAGATTAAAAACCTGGATGTTCGAACAGGCATTTGGTTAATCGGTGCAATGAATGTGATGATTACAGGAATGGTAATATGGACGACAAAACTGGATCACGATTTTAGTCATGAGATGCATTGGGTTGTTATTGTTGTGTCAATATTGTGTATTATGCTTTTATGGTTTTAAATTGTATATCGTTGACTGTTGTACCTTTGTTGTAAACCGCGTTGAGTCGCCTGTTAGGCTGAGAAACTGCGGTATACAAGTAAATAAATAAATAAATAAATAAATGTTTTGCTGGTGTGGGATACCAATTTTTCCCTCGAATTTGCTACTATTATTAGCCAATCGTCTATATACGGGTAAACCATGAAGGCTAGGAATCTGCGGTGCTGTACATTAATTGAGATATGAAAATAAGCGTCTTTTAAATCCACAGTTGCAAACCACACTCCTTTATTCAGTAAAGGAAGAATTGTCTTAAGAGACACCATTTGAAATTTTTTAGTATTTATAAACCTGTTAACTCCCCGTAAATCCAATATTGGCCGTTGACCACCTCCCTTTTTAGAAACCAGAAAGTATCTAGAGAAAAAACAATGTCCATAAAGCGATGGATGAACTGGACATATTGCTCCCTTAGAGAGCAAAGTTGTAATCTCTTCTAACAATGTAGGAGAAGAAGGTGTGATCTTCACATAACCCACTAGTGGTAGTTTGTCAAATTCAATTAAATAACCATCCTTAAGAATTTGTAGGACCCAAGAGTCAGTAGTAATACTAGACCAGACATCAAAAAATGGAGCTAAACGTGCTCCGAAATAAGGAAGGTTCGAATTCATAACATTAACAACTTTAACAGTGGGATTACAACAAACTGGTACTGGAACAGGAGAAACAAAACTAAATACTTCAGGCGTTCCCTCAACTGGAGGGATAGTGTCAAAAACGCTGCTTGTTTCCCCCTGAGTGGTTGGGCTTATTCTGATACGGCCGGAATCTATTCTTTGCGCCATATGACTGCTTCTTAGGAAAATATGGTCTACTGTTCTGGGGGGCGCGCTGCCGTTGTTGATTTCCATAGAAATTACCAGTGTTTCTTCTGTAGTATGGTGAAGATGATGCCTGCCAGCGGGACTTTGGTTGAAAGTAACCTTGATGTGGGAATCCATAGATCTGCATAGTCTTCTTCATTTCTTGGTTATGCTTCAACTTCTCATCGGTTGTAGGGTGAAACAAACCTTCCTCGTGCAACGGGAGATGTTCAGCGAGAGAGTGCCCCTCTTCTGATAGCGTGGAAGCCCTCAACCATGCATGTCGCCTTATCGCGGTGGCATTGTTGAAGACTTTCCCTGCTGCCTCTGCCATATGTTTAGCAAAATCCTTTTGAAATTTTGCTAATAGGGTAGCCTCTGAATGGAACGCTCTTGGCAGGCGTTGCTCATCCTCAGGTAGGAGATCGATATATGGCAACATCTTATTCCAAAGGAAAGTTTGATAAGCGCTCATATATGTAGCATAATGAGCCATCCTAGTGTAAAGTCCTGCTGCCATGTGGGACTTCTTACCCATGGCATCTATCTTTCTCCCTTCTTTATCAGAAGGTGATGGATTCAGCTTCTTAGCCTTTTGTCCATTTCCAACCTCTGCTATGACCGTATTAGCAATTGGTGGTCTAGCTAACTAGTTCACAGAGGACAAGTCTATTCTACAGAGATTATCCACTCTTTTTGGCATTGCAGGGGTTAGAGAAGGCGAGCCGTCTGTTGTCTTCGCCAATTTTAGCAAGTATGGTAATGCTGGAAGAGCAGTCATAACAATTGAATCTTGTTAATCAGCAGGGAACATAGGGTCATCTACTGATTCTGGTGGTTTAGGCGTTGGTAAATCAAGCGCACGAATCATCCTAGTCAGTAACGATGCAAATTTTGTGTAGTCCTCATTAGCTGCATCATGTTCTGTATCTCTGACATTATCTTGACTAATTACATCCTCATCAGAGGTTTCAGAATTATCCAGCTGAGTTAACTCATTATCTGGAACAGTTAACAAATGTTCCTGTGGATCCATATTTTCACAAGTTTGAACTTGAGGTTGTCTAGATCTCTTTGAATGTACTCTCCTTGGGTGTCTAGATTCAATATTTACATGATTATTTATAGCATTGTTCATAGTAGACCCATTTGGATGCCATTGTGTAGGCATTGGGGCCCCACAATAGATCATCTGCCCATTCGGCGCTATTTGCCAAAAGCCTCCTTGATTTACAAAAGGAGGAGGCGGTAGATATTGGCCCCCTTGACTCGCAAAGGGAGCAATAGGCAGAGTTTGTTGGTTTAAGTGACTTGCTGTGGAAGAGCCAGGCAGGCACTGTGGATCCGCTTCTCTATCAGAAGTAGGAGGATCTCCCCGGGTTCTATGGCTCCTCCCTCTCCGGTGAAGCTTCCTTGCGGGGGAGGAGCTAGAGGAGGAGTTGGAGGAGGAGTTTGAGCTCCTCGATGTCGAGCGGCGTCGGCGTCAACGCTCCGCGCTGTCTGCTACGCTCCTCGAGGGAGCACGGTCTCTAGCGTGTCTAGGACCTTTGTCCAGAAGCTTCATTGGCGGAGAGGGGGCTCTCGATGTTGACTCCAGGCTGCTGCCTAAGGCTCGAGCCAGGGTCGGCGTGGACATTGAAAAGGTAAAAGATTTTTCTTTCGCAGTTTGCAGGGCCTTCGAGCCCGCATCGGCAGTAAACTGAAGGGTCGCCCCTTCATTTGTTTGGGTTATTTCATCAGTATTCACCAGAGACACCATCTTGTTTGGCGGTTGGTGTTTTAAGACCGCTTCCCCTTCTTTAGCGGGTTTTTGTAGTTTGTCTAGACTGCTGAGTAACCTGAGCCGCTTCACCTCCAGTTGAGGGCTTGTTCGGCTTAATTTTTTTGATTTTAATCACTTTCTTTTTCTTGAAAGAAGTTGTAGCCATTATCCGTAAAATAATGTGTTGTCCCTTCCGTTGCTGCTTTTTACGCGGATAGGAAGAACTGAGTGCAGCCCCTTCTGAGGGCTATTTATAGAGGGAGCAGAGGAGGGCGGGGCTGCTCTAACGGTCTTTGTAGTTTCGAGACCTTTCTGTTGTTGCCTGCGCGAGCGCAGGATTATTACCATATGTGCAAATACACGGTGACCACGTGGGGAAAAGCACATGTCTGTGTTTTAGATGGATTAGGGATCAGTTGGTTTTTCCTGTAATAGGCAATAAGAGCACCTAGAGTTTCTGAGAGCTTCTGTTCTCAAAGCTCCCTGCTTGAGCAGTAATGGCACGATCATCAGCATAGATGAAACTCTCTGTCCCTTCTGGCAGTGGCTGGTCATTTGTGTAGATGTTGAACATGGATAGAGCAAGCACGCTCCCCTAAGGCAGGCCGTTCTTCTGTTTCCACCATCTGCTTCTCTGGCCCTGGAACTCAACAAATATGATTCTTACGTAATATTTCGCAATCGCTTCTGGTGGGAACGAGAGACAGGGCCTTTTCTGTGGTGGCCCCTAGGCTATGGAACTCTATCCCGATTGGGATCAGATCTGCCCCCTCCCTCCCTGTCCTTCAGGAGGCTGGTGAAATCCTGGCTATGGAAGGAAGCATTCCCAGAGTAATGGTAGAAACCGGCTACAGAACAAAGTTATCGACCACACATAAGGACTGAGTTGGACATGATTTTATCTTGGCGATTTGACCTATTTGTAATTTTAATCTATATGTATTTTAACTTTTTGTTATTGTATGATGTTTTTAGATTGTACTATTAGCATTGAATCCTTGCTCTGAGCTGGTATGAGTCCCTCTATGGAGGTTAGAGAAGATCGGGATAAAATATTTCTAAATAAATAAATAATCTTAGTAAGTTATGATGTCCTTAAAACACTAAGAATTTATTAGTCTTCCCAAAAATAGTTAAGAAGATTGTCAGTCTCGGTTTACAACTAAATAATAATAATCTATAAAAATGTAATGTTCGTTTGTGGGATTAACATAATTCAAAAATCACTGGATGAATTGCCGCCAAATTTGGCCACAAGACACCTCCTAACCCAAGGAGTGACCATCACTCAAAAAAAATGGATTTTGTCATTTGGGAGTTGTAGTTGCTGGGATTTATAGTTTACTTACAATCAGAGCATTCTGAACTCCACCAATGATGGAATTGAACCAAACGTGGCACACAGGACTCTCAAGACCAACAGAAAACACTAGAAGGGTTTGGTGGACATTGACCTTGAGTTTGGGAGTTGTAGGTCACCTCCATCAAGAGAGCACTGTGGACTCATACAATGATGGATCTGCACCAAACGTAGCACGAATATTCCATATGCCCAAATATGAACACAGATGGAATTTGGGGAATATAGACCTTGACATTTGGGAGTTGCAGTTACTGGGATTTATAGTTCACTTACAATCAAAGAGCCTGCGGAACCCCACCAACGACAGAACTGGGGAAACGTCCCACACAGAACCCCCATACTTAAGACCATCTAGTCCAACTCCCTTCACCAGGGGAAGAAAACATAATCAAAGTCCTCCTGATAAAGAGCCATCCAGCCATACACACACACACACAAACACACACACACTACAAGAAAGGAGATTCCATCTGAACATTAGGAAGAACTTCCTGACTGTGAGTGTTCACCAGTGGAACTCTCTGCCCTGGAGTGTGGTGGAGGCTCATTCTTTAGAACCTTTTAAACAGAGGCTGGATGGCTATCTGTCAGGGGTGCTTTGAATACAATATTCCTGCTGTATTGTCAAAGGCTTTCATGGCCGGGATCACTGGGCTGTTGTAGGTTTTTTTGGGCTATATGGTCATGTTCTAGAGGCATTCTCTCTTGACGTTTTGCCTGCATCTGTGGCAAGCATCCTCAGAAGTAGTGAGGTCTGTTGGAACTAGGAAAAAGGGTTTATATATCTGTGGAATGACTAGGGTGGGACAAAGGACTCTTGTCTGTTGGAGATAGGTGTGAATGTTTCAACTGACCACCTTGATTAGCATTTGATGGTCTGGCAGTGCCTGGGGCAATCTTTTGTTGAGAGGTGATTAGATGTCCCTGATTGTTTCCTCTCTGTTGTTTTCTGTTGTAATTTTAGATTTTTTAAATACTGGTAGCCAGATTTTGTTCATATATTAAAAACATATATTAAAACATACACATATTACAATACATTAGACAAAAGGCAAAACACAGCTAAGATAGAATGTGATTTAAAAGTCATGGTTAAAGTTATTAAAAACAAATATATTCGATACTCAATTAGGTATAACATTTTGATCAATAGCTATTGATTTTCAACCATCAAATTAATAAGACTCACCTTTAAATAATTGAGATGGTAGTCCAAAAGGACGGTTGCGTTTGTGATACTGTCCTTGGTTCCAACAAATACAAAAGGAACCATCCCCTAGAAAGGAATCGAAAAATCACAGGTCGTCAGGAACACCCTGCTATGACTTCCTTTTGAAAATGAAAACAATGCTCTCGGAAAGTACTGTGACCATACAACAGATTCATATCTTGACCATACAACAGCTAGCAACTTCCTACAATCTTTCTTTGCTGGATGTAAATGTAATTATGATAAGATGTGATGCTTCAAGTATCATCTTGAAATGTAAAGTTTGAAAACAATCCTGTTTTACAACTTACAGAACTTTGGTTAGTGATTTGCTGTTATTGTTGTTGTGTGTGCCTCTGAAGTTGCATTTCATTCATGGTGAGGGGAGTTTTCCTGGTGGAATTAGTTGCCCCTATCTTCCTCCAAGGAAGGTTCCTAGCAAGATTTCATTCAAAGGTGGTTTGCTCTTGCCTTCCTGTTAGGTTAAGAAAGTGTGACTTGCCCGAAGTTACCCAGTGGGTTTCCATGGCTAAGTAGGGACTCAAACCCTCTCAGGAGCCTAGTCTATGGCTTTATTAAGACATCTGTGAGATCTACCTTAATTTATAAACGGAGATTGAGCCCCATGTAGCAGCCCTATCCAGAGAAAACTTACCGTATATACTTGAGCATAAGCAAAGTTTTTCAGCCCCCTTTTTAGGCTGAAAAAGTTCCTTCATTTTACCCTATTGCTAGTACTATTTTTATTACATTTATTACTTTACTTTATTTATGATTATTATTACATTTATTATTTTTTCTATTTATTAATATTATTATATTCATTATTTTACTCTGTTATTATTATTACATTCATTATTTTACTCTATTATTATAATATTTATTATTATTTTCCTCTATTTATTATTACATTTACTGTTGTAGTTCAGCGTGTTGCTCGAGTTGTTAGGGAGAACGGGTCTACTTTAGAGTCAGAGGGAGAACAGCAGTGTCAGCACATTAGAGAAATCATTATGGCTCCAAGCGATACTGACACGTTCCCAGGTTTCTCCGATTGTGAGATGGGGGATGGGGAAGTGAGCAGAGGTGTAAAGAGGGCTGCTCGTGAGCCAGAGTCTGAAGGGGAATTACAAAGGAAGCGTATTCGGGAAATACTTTGTGCACCAACAGAGGATGAAGATTTCCTTGGGTTTGAAGGGAGTTCTGGGACTGGGAGTGATATGGAAGATGATGAGGAGTTAAATTGGACCCGTATGGAAAACATAAGGGATATCTGTAACCAGCCCACCTCTAGTGAGGAATTTGAGGGGTTCACTGGGGATTGGCAGCCAGGGGACTGTTGGCAGGATCTGAACCCTGATAATCGTTGGCAGAGGTGGAGGGATGGGCATTCAGCTGCAGGTTTGGGAGCAGCTGAGAGTGATGACGAGAGGGTGGGGAGCTCATCAAGCTCTGAGGAAGAACTTTGAGATAAAAGTGGGTTCAGTTTGGACTGCAAGTCGCAGAAGGCAAAGTGTCTTCATGGGACATAATTCTTTGTACCTGCCAACTTTCCACCTTGGGTCCTGGGTTATAGCTTCGTGTGTTCCTGTGCTCCTGTTTCCTCGGTGACTCCAGCGTTCCAGCCTTGTTTCTCAACGGAATTGACTACGGACCTGTTTGACTTCGCTTTTGGGACTTCTGGACTTTGTTTGCTAATATCTTTGTGACTTTAACAACTTTGAGTTTTGAAACTACGCTTTTCCAGCTTCAGAGACTGTGCTTTTGGCCTATTTTGATTTTTAAGCAATTCGCTTCATCTTTGGTTTAATCTGGATTATTAGGCAGCACTATAATCCGGATTATATTTTCGTTACTCATATTGACTTTCTTTAGGTGACAAATTGCTCCAGCGGGTCTTAGCACTGAAGTTAAGTGCTTTGTAGGTCCTTTTGTTTGCAATAAAGCTGTGTTTGAACCTTTTATCTGTGTCTGGCGTTGTTTAAGGCTTCTGGGTCCTGACATTTACATTATTATTATTTTTATTATTATTATTATTATTATTATTATTATTATTATTATTATTATTACATTTATTTTACTCTATATCAGGGGTCCTCAAACTAAGGTCCGAGGGCCGAATACGGCCCTCCAAGGTCATTTACCTGGCCCTTGCTCAGGGTCAACCTAAGCCTGAAATGATTTGAAGGCACACAACAACAACAACAACAACAACAACAACAACAACAACAACAACAACCCTATCCATCAGCCAGAAACAGGCCCACACTTCCCACTGAAATACTAATAAGTTTATATACGTTAAAATTGCTCTTCATTTTAATTATTGTATTGTTTTAAGTGTTTTTTTGAACTACAAATAAGATATGTGCATAGGAATTCATTCATTATAATTATAATCCGGCCCTCCAACAGTTTGAGGGACTGTGACCTGCCCCTCTGTTTAAAAAGTTTGAGGACCCCTGCTCTATATTATTACATTGGCATTATCTTATGTATTTACTTCATTTATATACCGCTTTTCTCAGCCCTTTATATTTATTATTTTCCTCTATTTATTATTACATTTACTCTATTATTATAATTACTTTTATTTTACTCTTATTACATTTACTTTTTACTCTATTTATTGTCATTGTTATTACATTTATATTTTTACTTTATTATTATTACATTTAACTCAATCTATTATTACATTTTATTATTTTACACTCTATTATCATTGGAATGATATTTAAGCACATTTACATTGAAGAAGGTTGAATAATGATTTCAACAGAGTTGGACAGTCTTATCTTAAATTATAGTTTTATGTAAATATTCAAAAACCTTTAACCTACTGATGCCTCAATTAATGTAATTTCATTGATATCTATTTTTATTTTGAAATTTACCAGTAGCTGCTGCATTCCCCACTCTTGGCTTACACTCGAGTCAATACGTTTTCCTAATTTTAAAAAGTTTACACAAAAACAATTTATGCACACAAAAAGCGACAACAGCAATTCCCTTGAATGTCCATCTGTCTTTATGACACACAACCACATAACATTCATTTAGCACAGATTTCTACTATTACTTACTTACTTACTATAGTCCTCTTTCCAGATTCAACAATTTTATTTACTATTATTATTAAACTGAATCTAAATGGCTGGTGCCATTGGGGCTTTAAGACTCTGAGCACTATATTCTGGAAATGTAGTTTAGGGCAGGGCCTTTTGCACTCTCTGCCACAGAGAGGCCCCGCCTTCCCAAACTACAAATTTAAGATGGCTGTGTTCTCAGTCTCCTGCCCATTATCTTTAGTCCCGCCCACTGAGCCTTTCTTATGGCGATTGAGCAAAATTTATTTATTTATTTCGTGTACTTCTACCCCGCCCTTCTCAACCCCCGAGGGGGGACTCAGGGCGGCTTACAAACAAGCACAATTCGATGCCTACACCATAATACAAAACGTATAAAAACAGCAGTTAAACAGTTATAACAATTAAAACAATCAATATATATCACAATTAATAACCAATCTCATGCTCAGCGTTCGCCAACTCATGGTCCATACTTCATTCCACATAGTCTATTCCTATCCGTCGTCGTAGTCCTTTATTTATCTGCCAGATTGCCCAAACGCCTGGTCCCAAATCCATGTTTTTAATTTCCTTCTAAAGGAAAGGAGGGATGTTGCTGATCTAATTTCCCCGGGGAGTGAATTCCATAGGTGAGGGGCCACCACTGAGAAGGCCCTGCTCCTCGTCCCCGCCAATCTCACTTGTGTTAGAGGCGGGGCCGAGAGCAGGGCCTCCCCAGAAGATCTTAAACTCCAAGGTGGGACGTAGAGGGAGATCCGTTCGGACAGATACGCTGGGCCGGAACCGTATAGGGTTTTGTAGGTCAAAACCAGCACTTTAAAAAGAAAAAGGACTGGTTTTTTTAAAGCACTTTATGTTCTCTCAGCTTTACCAAGTTGCTTAATGCTTATACTGAAAATTAAACTGAGCTTGGAAGACATCCAAATAATTATTGTTATTGTTATTACATTTATATTTTTACTCTATTATTATTACATTTAATTCAATCTTTATTATTATTATGTTTATTATTTTCCTCTATTATAATATTTACTATTATTTTCCTCTATTATTACATTTACTCTATTATTATCATTACATTTATTTTACTCTATAATATTACATTTACATTATTTTACTCCATTATTATTATATTTATTTTTACTCTATTTATTGTTATTATTATTACATTTACATTATTTTACTTTATTATCTAAAACACAGACATGTGCCTTTCATCTCAAGAACAGAGAAGCATCCCGAGCTCTGAAGATAACCTGGGAAGGAATCCCACTGGAGCATTGCAGCGCACCCAAATACCTGGGAGTCACTCTGGACCGTGCTCTTACCTACAAGAAGCACTGCCTGAACATCAAGCAAAAAGTGGGTGCTAGAAACAATATCATACGAAAGCTGACTGGCACAACCTGGGGATCACAACCAGATACGTTGAAGACATCTGGTGCTACTCTGCTGCTGAGTATGCATGCCCAGTGTGGAACACATCTCACCACACTAAAATGGTGGATGTGGCTCTTAATGAGACATGCCGCATTATCACAGGGTGTCTGCGCTCTACACCACTGGAGAAATTACACTGTCTAGCCGGTATCGCACCACCTGACATCCGCCGGGAAGTGGCAGCCAATAGTGAAAGGACCAAGGCAGAGACATCCCCAGCTCATCCCCTGTTTGGGTATCAGCCAACACGTCAACAACTTAAATCCAGACATAGTTTTCTAAGATCTCCAGAGACACTCGCTGGAACACCTCAGCAAGCGAGAGTCCAAAAGTGGCAGGCTCAAACCCAGAACCTCAACCAATGGCTGATACCAAATGAGAAACTCCCCCCTGGGCACACAGAGGACTGGGCGACTTGGAAGGTGCTGAACAGACTGCGCTCTGGCACCACAAGATGCAGAGCCAACCTTCAGAAATGGGGCCACAAAGTGGAATCCTCGACATGCGAGTGCGGAGAGGAGCAAACCACTGACCATCTGCTGCAATGCAACCTGAGCCCAGCCACATGCACAATGGAGGACCTTCTTGCAGCAACACCAGAAGCACTCCAAGTGGCCAGATACTGGTCAAAGGACATTTAATCAACTACCAAACTCACACATTTTGTATTTTCTCTGTTTGTTTGCTTTGTTCTGTTAGAAATGTAATATAATTGACTGGCTGCCCTGACACGAAATAAATAAAAATATAAAATATTTATTTTTACTCTATTTATTGTTATTGTTATTACATTTACATTACTTTACTCTATTATTATTACATTTAATTCAATCTTTATTATTACATTTTATTATTTTATTCTATTATTATTGGAATGATATTTAAGCACTTTTACATTGAAGAAGGTGAGAATAATAATTTCATTCTACCTTAAATTATAGTTTTATGTAAATATTCAAAAACCTTTAACCTACTGATGCCTCAATTAATGTAATTTTATTGGTATCTATTGGTAATTTACCAGTAGTTGCTGCATTTCCCACTCTTGGCTTACACTCAAGTCAATATGTTTTCCTAATTTTAGGTGCCTCGGTTTATATTTGGGTCGACTTATACTTGAGTATATACGGTAAGTAGCTTTGACATAGAAAATATAATACGAAGAAACCAGTCTCTAGGTGCAGTCTAATGCTGCTTGTTTGGCGTAATCTGTTTTAAGATTAAGATCCTTCTTAGAGCACCTCTATTTGTATTCATCTGCAGAGCTCAAGACACAAAACGAAAATACTGTCATGGCTACAGACAGACTAATGTTACCTGGCTGACCAATACCCAAGCAAATTACTTAAGCTCTCCTATAGGCTACAGTCTTGCAAGGAGAGTGACAGAAGATAAACATGTCTTACCTGCCACATTTTGAGTTCAGGTTTTTGCTTTCTCCCTGCTACAGTTGATGACACAACTAACGCCTGCAGCGTAAGGAATGCATGTGTTAGTGATGTCATTAAATATAACACAGGAGTCAACAACAGAACCTTCAACTCAGCACTTGGGAGGACAAAAGCACTGCTGTGTTTAATGCTGCACTTGAAAACTACAAATAACCTTAAACCTAACCCATTAATGGCAAAACTAAGCCTAGAGTATATGCCTATTTCTCTGGTGCAGCTACTTGCTAAGATAAAGCTGTTAATGCACACTTATTTTATACTAGCCGTCCCCTGCCACGCGCTGCTGTGGCCCAATATGTATATATGTGTTTTGTATGCATATATGTATGTGTATTTAGGCTTGTGCAATCAATGGTTCTAAATTACTTACAAAACTAAAGTTCTGGTGGTGAAAACTAGGGGGCGCTGGTGCTTTGCTTCTACAGTGTTGCTAAAGTTCTGGAGGTGAAACTTTCAGAACTCTAACACAATTTTCAAAATTTTATTATAAATGGCAGTTCCTAATAGGTTCTGTCATAAAAATCACCAATAATGAAATAATAATGAAATTTGGAAAGTTTTGTTAAGAGTTCTGAAATGTTCACCACCAGAACTTTAGCAACACTGTAGATGCAAAGCACCAGTGCCCCCTAGTTTTCACAACCAGAACTTTAATTTTGTAAGTACTTTAGAACCATTTAGAACCATGGATTGCACATGCTTAGTGTGTGTATATACCTGTGTATATGTGTATATATGCGGTTTTGCGAATGCATTATGTATTTTTTGTTTTTCGGCTTTTTAAGTCCTTTCCACTGTATTTTCCAGTTTTTTTACGAGTGATGGTCACTCGTTGGCCTGATAGGTGTATTGTGTCCAAATTTGGTGTCAATTCGCCCAGTGGTTTTTGAGTTATGTTAATCCCACAAACGAACATTACATTTTTATTTATATGTGTATTTATTTTTATATGTTTATATGCTTATTTATATGTTTTATTTATTTTTATTTTTATGTATATGTCACGGTACAGAAAAGCATAGGGGTTCCCTGAATAAAGGAAGCAATCCCCTGCAAATATCATGAGAAGTACTTTAATTACCCATTGGGGTGTTCTCCACTTTTGGTTTTAATACCCTCCTACTAGATACATCCTTTGTTCATGTCCAGCATTTATTTTTAAAGTTTTAACTATTACATCTGGCCCGGCCATAGGTTTTTAAATTCTTGTGTTTTATTGTCTACGTGTGAGTTATACTAATAGTATTGTTTATTTTGTTTATTGCTTGTTTTATTGATGTGTTGTTGGACTTGGCCTCATGTAAGCCGCTCCCCGGGTTCCTTGGGGAGATGGTGGTGGGGTATAAATAAAGTTGTTCTTGTTATTATTATTATTATTATTATTATTATTATTACTACTACTACTACTACTACTACTATAGGGGTTACACCTAGACTTTGGAACTCTCTCACTACAATGTTTCCTCTCTTAGTGTCCTTCTGTTAAGAGGTGAAAACTTCTATTCAGACAGGCTCTTAGGAACTGTTCTCAAAGACTTTAATAAAGTGTCATTTTATTGATTTATTGGTATTTCCTTTTATTTTTGTAAGCCCCCTTGAGTATCAATTTTGGGGAAAAAGCAGGACATAAACCAACAACAATGCAAATGATATCAATCCAGGCATAAATTATACCTCTACCATGCATAGTCTTAGGAAAAGCGTTCCCTATCTATCTAAGTACTCCAGTGGAATATTTTTATCATTTTTCCCTAAAAATATTGGAATATTTTTGAAAAAGTGGAATATTTTATCATTTTTTCAAAAAAATCTACAATGGCTATCTCCTTGAATTTTATATACAATGCACATGATAACCAGGGCATCAATCCCTAGAAGTTTCAGAAAGATTCACACACGTACAGATTTTGGCACAGTTTTAAAAGTTTACACAAAAACAATTTATTCCCCCCAAAAGCGACAACAGCAATTCCCTTGAATGTCTGTCTGTCTTTATGACACACAACCACATAATATTCATTTAGCACGGATTTATACTATTACTTACTTACTATAGTCCTCTTTCCAGATTCAATTATTGTATTTATTTATTATTATTAAACTGAATCTAAATGGTTGGTGCCATTGGGGCTTTCAGATACTGAGCACTATATTCTGAAAATGTAGTTTAAGGCAGGGCCTAAACTCTCTGCCTTCCCAAACTACATTTAAGATGGTGGTGTTCTCAGTCTCCCGCCCATTATCTTTAGTCCCGCCCACTGAGCCTTTCTTATGGCGATCGAGCTAAAGAAAAAGGACTGGTTTTTCAAAGCTGTTTTACCAAAGTTGCTTAATGCTTATACTGAAAATTAAACTGAGCTCCAAATGTTTCAGAATCTTAACAAAAATGATTGGTGGGTGTTTCAATTCCTAAATTCCACCTCCCCTTTTCTGCATGTTTCTAATATTGATTCATATGCACATCCCTATTTAACACACTTGTTTATTTAGGATCAACACAATTATTTAAAATATACAAGACTGTACAATAAAAACGTATAGCTCACAAAATGTTTTGGCTTAATATGAAATATCTGAAAATAAGTAAGTCTCATTTCACATACCTCTTCTTGTGGAATATTTTTATCATTCTCAGCTTCAATTCTAACCCGTACAACACCGGATTTATCCACAATCTCCTGGATGAGTTTCCCATTTTTTCCTATAACTTTTCCTATAAAAAGAACACAGAAATGTTCAATTTTCAGACCTGATAAAATTTTGCTCATGTGAATAGAAGCATCCTAAGGACGAGATAACATTGGTCTCTGTGTGTTTTGTTCTGTTTAACTTTGGGCTACTGATGCTGGGTCATGCTGCTGCTGCTAAGTTATTCTGCTGTACATTTATGGGGAGGGTCTTTTGTTAATAGGTCCACAGCATGGGAGTAGGTATGCTTTATGAACTATTGAATGCTACCTTAAGGCTGAAACACCTCCCCCATTGTGTCAGTGGGTTTACTCTAGCTGGAAGTACCACTGGATTTCAGAATTTATTTCTAAGGAAAAAGCATTTTGAGTTAAAAATCAAACCACAAACCTACGTACCTACTAAGCTTCTTGGAACCTGGATGACATCTTCAGCAAACTCAAGGTAACTTCTTGCCTTCTTCACTGCATCTTGATCCTGCAGAGAAAAGATTAAATAAAAATGGCTGTCTGAGCTCTGCTATGTCCTGGTGTCAGAGAAGCAGAGTTAAACCAAGACTAGAGGTGCAACTCACCTCCCCATAAATATGGAATGTACAAGTGTCTTCATCAAGATCAATAGCCGTCACACCTGGTACTTTCCTGGCTTGCTGAATATTAGCACCATGAGTGCCAATGGCCAGACCCATTAAGTCTTCACGTACAATAAACTGTTCATGAAATCGCGAAGCAAGTTGCCTTGAGCTCTGGGGAAAAACATATTCACAATTAGGAGAATCTGATTACAAGTATGGCAAATAGCTTAAGAGTAATATGTTGGATCTCATTTCTGCTCTGATTGCCTTTCCTGTCGATATGGAGAAATAATAAAACTCCAATCCAAACTGAGATCCCGTCACACATGAAGAGAAGAATACAATATACTAAAGAGAGTTTCAATAATTTTAGTTACATTTAGGGACTGTGGCGCAGCTGGCTGGGAGTCAGCTGCATTAAGATCACTACTGACCGAAAGGTCACAAGTTCGAAGCCGGCCCGGGTCGGAGTGAACTTCCGACCGATTTGTGTAGCTTGCTCTCGAACTTTGCACCCAAAAGACAGTTGAATCTGTCAAGCATCCCTTGTTTGGGTATCAGCCAGCACGTCAATGACTTAAATCAAGAAATAGTTTTCTTATATCTACAGAGACACTCGCTGGAACACCTCAGCAAGCGAGAGTCCAAAAGTGGCAGGCTCAAACCCAGAACCTCAATCTATGGCTGAAACCAGATGAGAGACTCCCCCCTGGGCACACAGAGGACTGGGCAACTTGGAAGGCGCTGAACAGACTGTGCTCTGGCACCACGAGATGCAGAGCCAACCTTCAGAAATGGGGCTACAAAGTGGAATCCATGACATGTGAGTGTGGAGAAGAGCAAACCACTGACCACCTGCTGCAATGCAACCTGAGCCCTGCCACATGCACAATTCTTGCGGCAACACCAGAGGCACTCCAAGTGGTCCGATACTGGTCAAAGGACATTTAATCAACTACCAAGCTTGCAAATTTTGTGTTTTGTCTGTTTGTTTGTTTTGTTCTGTTAGAAATGTAATACAATTGTCTGGTTGCCCCCGACACGATAAATAAAAATAAAATCTGTCAAGCAGTAAATTTAGGTACCACTTATGTGGGGAGATGTTGGGACCTGAACCTGAAACTTTGATTGTATTGCCTAATGCTGATGCCAATGTTGATGGGCCTAATTTGGTTAGTGAGGCTGAAGTGATCAATGAGGACGATGCTCAAGATGGAGACACTTTGGGCAGTAAAAATCCTTCAAGCTTTGATTTAGAGGCTTCAAGGGAAAAGCCAAGTTCTCATGAGAAAGTTTCTGTCAGACGGAGAGAAGAAAATTCACTCCCTTTTCCTTCTGGTCCGAGCTTGCAAGATAACTTGACACCTGGTCGGGTCAATGATAACCGCGGATTGGAAATAAGCCAGAACCGCAGGGAGGCTCAATGTTTACCTAGGTCCGAGAGAATTTGACAATTGAAACCAAAGATTAGAGTTAGCCGGAATCGGTTTTTGGGATTTAAGAGTTCCCGTGAGGGAGATTTCCTCAGACCAAGCATCATTTAGTATCAAGTACAAACCTCCTGGGTTTTCCAGTTTCCAGTGGTCTGGTCTCTAAGGGAATTTCTGGCTTCAAGTGAGAATAGCAGGGGCTAATCTGTTCATGGATTTCTATTGAGAATTTTCTGGACATTACTGCTTTGGATTTTCTGCAAGCTTTCTGGACATTGCTGTTTGCTGTTTCATTTTGGCTTTTTTTTTTTACTTTTGGACTTCAATCTATTTTATATTCATAATTCAATAAAAAGGATTGTATTTTTCCTAAACCAAGGTGTGGTGTATTAATGACAAGAGGGCCCTGTTTCCTGTTCTGGAGTTCAACAGGAGGCAAATTTAACTAATTTACAAGGCCATAAAATCTCCAGCAAGCATGCAAAGAATGATGAAGTACTTCATCAGTGTCACAAATGGTCGGTGAAGGGACAGCTCCTCTAGGGGCCAGAATACCCTCAAGAAAAGCTGGAATGTTAAATACCCTCTGTGTGTCTGTCTATATATGTCAGGGGTCTTCAAACTAAGGCCCGGGGGCCGGATGCAGCCCTCCAGTGTCATTTACCCAGCCCTCGCTCAGGGTCAACCGAAGTCTGAAACTACTTCAAAGCATACAACAACAACAACAATCCTATCTCATCAGCCAAAAGCAGGCCCACATTTCCCATTGAAATACGAATAAGTTTATATTTGTTAACATTGTTCTTCATTTTAATTATCGTATTGTTTTAAAGTGTTTTTTATGCTACAAATAAGATATGTGCAGCGTGCATAGGAATCCATGGTGTTTTTTTTTTCAAATTATAATCCGGCCCTCCAACAGTTTGAGGGACTGTGACGTGACCCTCTGTTTAAAAAGTTTGTGGACCCCTGATATATGTTGTGTGTCTATGGCATTGATGTTTGCCATGTATATGTACATTGTAATCCGCCCTGAGTCCCCTGTGGGGTGAGAAGGGTGGAATATAAATACTGTAAATAAATATTTATTTATTTATTTATTTGCTGCATTTATTGACCGCCGTTCTCAGCCCTAGGGCGACTCACGGCGGTGTACAACATATAAAAGACAATTTACAATAAAGCAATAACAAAAAATCAACATATCACTAACACACAATAATATAATTACACTAAATAATCCGCTCCGTCTCATCGTAGAATCATAACCAATCTCGTAATCCATATTCCGTTCCAGTTGTCATTACCAATTAATGTAGCACTCAGTTAAATGCCTTCTCAAATAGCCATGTCTTTAGGCTCTTACGGAAAGACATAAGGGAGGGCGCCTGTCTGATGTCAACAGGGAGGGTGTTCCACAGCCGGGGGGCCACCACCGAGAAGGCCCTCTCTCTCGTCCCCGCCAGACGTGCCTGTGAAGCAGGCGGGATCGAGAGAAGGGCCTCCCCAGACGATCTCAAGGCCCTCGTGGGCTCATAGGCTATTTATAAATAAATAAATAGGGGTAACACAAAAGCGGATCCTATAATATAGTTATAGGTGCATAATATAGTTATAGGTGCATCTCAATTCAAAAAGCCACTGACAAATTGGGTTATGCTTACTTATCCCCCTTTCCTTCCTGTCGTTTTCCTGTTTGGAAATGTTGCAATCAATATTGGGAGGATGTTAATGCCAAGCTGGAGAAATATGCAACTGAGTGTGAGCCGGGAGAAAATATTACAAGAAGAAATACCTCTAGCTGTTTGCTGGCTTCTTCATTTCTCATTATCAATGATAATTTTGTGCGAAGACTCCGAAAGTGCATATCAATGAGCATATTTGCGCGCTTTGTTGTTACTTCATTGATAGACTAAAAATTGAAGGGAAAACACAGCTTTTGTTAGTATCATCTCTAACAAGCTTTAATGAACATACCCCAATTCTAGAAATACTTACCAAAATGATAAGCTGATGGGCGTCAGGATCGTACACTACCGAAAATGCTCCAACTGCCTTTTTAAAGTCCTTGTGAGCAGATTCTTTCGCACACCTACAATACAAATGTTGAAAGATTCACACCTAGCCCTTTGTCTCACCCTGGTCATTCCACAGATATATAAACCCCTTTTTCCCCAGTTCCAACAATCTCTGAGGATGCTTGCCATAGATGCAGGCGAAACGTCAGGAGAAATGCCTCTAGAACATGGCCATATAGCCCGAAAAAACCCACAAGAACTGAATACAAATGTACTTTAATATTTATTCATTTTACAGTGTTTCAATTATGCTGTAACCCGCCTTGAGCTGCGAGGAGAGGTGGGTAAGAAATATTTACGAAATGTTTTGAATCATGAATTGATGTGAACATAGAATCCTGTGCTCTCATGTCTTTCTAGAACTTCTAGAAAAACTTTAAAGAAACACAGTGTATTCATGGTTTTATAGTGATAGTAATGTTTTATAATGTATTAATGTATTTCATTTTGATTTTAATTTTAATTCAAATGTATTGACAACACCAGATGGTGTTTGCTGTGAGGCTGCTGCGAGGCCCCCCTCGGGGGTGCGAAGGGAGGGCTACAAATGCAGGAAATGATGGTTGCTTACCTGTAACCATGTTTCTTCGAGTGGTGATCTGTGAAATTAGCACATGTGATAGTTGATGCACCTGTGCAGCAATCATTGGAAAACTCTGATAAGCTGACAAGGTTTGTGGCTGCCGCCCCGCCCCTCTTCCCCATGAGGCATATAAGCCAGATGAGGGGCTGTAGGTGTAGTTCCCCACCGCCGTGCAGCGGCAAGAGGCTGGATGCATGATCTGCGGGGAGGAAGGGCGGGGATGTGCTAATTTCACAGATCACCACTCGAAGAAACATGGTTACAGGTAAGCAACCATCATTTCTCCTTTGTGGTGTCTGTTGAAATAAGCATATGTGATAGACTAGCAAGCCACAAACCTTGGATGGTGGGCGTCATGCCCCTGCCGAGAAGAGAACTGCTCTGCCAAACACGGCATGCCTCCTTGACTGGACGTCCATCTTATAATGGGTGGCGAATGTTAACGGAGTAGTCCAGATCGCCGCCCGACAGATGTTGCTCAATAGAACTCCACGAAGATAAGCTGCTGATGTAGCGACTGCTCTCGTGGAGTGGCCCCTCAGATACACAGGCGGATCTTTGCCAGCCATCTGATAGGCAAGTCTAATGGTAGAGACCACCCATGCCGAGAGGCGTTGGGGGGAAACAGGCTGACCTTTGGTGTCATTGCGGTATTTCACAAAAAGCCTGAGACTGCCTGAAGTCATTCGGCCTGTGAAGGTAGAAGGAGAGTGCTCTGCGGACCTTGAGATGATGAAGCGCCCGCTCAAGCTCTGTTTGTGGAGCTTGAAAAAATGCTGGAAGCACAATGTCTTGAGCCAAATGATACACCAAAGCGACCTTAGGAAGGAAGGAGTTGTCGGTTCTGAGAACCACCTTGTCCCTATGAAACCGGAGATAGGGCTCATCAACACGAAGTGCACACAACTTGCTGGATCTGCGAGCCGAGGTGACTGCCACCAAAAAAGCAACTTTCCATGAAAGGTGAGAAAGATCAGCCATAGCCATAGGTTCAAAAGGTGGCTTCATCAATGCTGACAACACAAAATCAAGCTGCCAAGAGGGAGGTGGAGAGGAGACTGGTGGCCAGAGATTCCTGTACCCTCTAAGGAAGAGTTGAACAAGAGGGTCCTGAAACCATGAGGAGCCACCTTCCTGTGGTAATATGCTGAGAGAGTAGCAAGATAGCACTTGATCGAAGAAAGCACCAGGCCCTCATCTGCCAACGTCGCAAGGAACTGAAGAAAGAGTGAAGTAGGGGCCTGCAGAGGCTGCACACCATGCTGGCGTGTAAATGCAGTAAAGCGCTTCCACTTCACCTCATATGAGCGCTGTGTAGATGGGCGGTGTGCAGCATCAAGGATGGCCTTTACTGCTGGAGGTAATGGTGCGGCCTGACCCGCCATGCTGTTAGACGGAGGAGGGCGAGGTCTGGGGGACGGACACAACCGTCCTGGATCGTGAGCAAGTCCGGCCGACTGCTCAGTGTGAGATGGTTGCCTGCAGCCATGGCCTTGAGGAGGGCGAACCAGGGTTGTCTTGGCCACCAAGGTGTTATAAGGATGGCGTTGGCTCTGTCCGCATCCAACTTGGCCACCACTCTGCTGAGGAGAGGCAGTGGTGGAAAAGCGTACAACAGGAGCCCGTGCCAACTGTAGAGGAAGGCGTCCTCCGGACATCCCTGTGGCGTGTCTTGCGGCATTCTGGCACAGAAGCATTTACATTTGGCATTGGCTGGTGCTGCAAACAAATTGATGTCCGGCCATCCCCACTGATGAAAGAGGAGGTGAGCCTCGTGAGGGTGCAGCACCCACTTGTGGTTGGTGGGCCCAGTCCTGCTGAGGTGGTCTGCAACCGTGTTGTCTTTGCCGGGCAGATGTAATGTCACAAGATGGATCTCCCGGGGAATGCACCATTGCCAGATGTCGAGAGCCAACTGGAGCAGAGAGCGGGACCGTGTCCCTCCTTGCTTGTTGAGGTACCAGATGGCTGTTGTGTTGTCCGTGCAAATCTGGACCACACGGCCCTGAAGAGAAAGTTCGAAGGCTCGGAGCGCTTTCTGGACAGCAGTGAGTTCTAACACGTTGATATGGAGCTTGGTCTCAGCTGATGTCCACAGGCTTTGGATGGAGAGGGTGCCGGAGTGGGCTCCCCAGCCGTGAAGAGAGGCGTTGGTGGTGACGACTGCTGAAGGCCATGGAGGGCGAAATAGCATGCCCACGCAGACATTGTCGCGGAGAGTCTCACCAATGAAGGGAGCACCGGACGGACTCTGGCGGATGTAACATGTGGTGCTGGCTGTGGCGGAGAGGGTCGAACACTCTGATGAACCACGCTTCCAGCGGTCAAAAGTGCAGGACATCAAATGGTGTTACAGCAGTTGTGGAAGCCATATGCCCCAGCGTGGACTGAACATGCTTGGCCTGCACAGAAGATGAGTGACGGATGTGCTGCACAGCTGCTTGGAGGTTGCAAAACCGCTCTTCACGAAGATATGCCTTGCACTCGATGGAATTGAGATGCGCACCGATAAAACTGATGTCACCGCGAGGCCGAGACTGCAGTAAAGAGAGTGTGAAGTCCAGATGTTGCAGATGTTGCGAGCGAGAGGCCCCAACGACCAGCCAATCGTCAATGTAAGGAAACACCACGATCCCTTTCACCGGTAAGTGAGCCGCCACTGCTGCCATGACCTTGGTAAAGACCTGAGGTGCAGTAATGATTTCAAAGGGAAAGAATACACCTTGTCGCCTATCTTGAAGGAGAGACACTTGTGGTGGCGCGGCGCGATGGCTACGTGGAAGTAGGCATCCTTCAGATCTATTGTGGCGAACCACGCCCCACAAGGAAGAAGTGGCAAGATGGTTTGGAGAGTCACCATGCAAAACTTGCGTGGTTGGATGTATGGGTTAAGGCCATGTAGATCCAAAATAGGTCTTTGGCCTTCATCCTTCTTAGGGACCAAGAAATAGGTGGAGAAAAAAGCAGAAGAAAACTGAGAAGGGTGAAGCGGCACAATTGCCCCTTTCTGGAGGAGGGTGTGAACCTCATCCAAAAGGACATCTGAAGGCGGCCTAGTTCTAACAAAGCCAAGGCGTGGAGGATTCTCGAACTCAATAGAGTAGCCGTGGCGAACCACATCCAGCACCCACCTATGGTGATAGATCTCCATGCCTCGTAGAAGCCGGCCAAACGTGTGCCAAAGCGCACAAGCAGTGGTGGGCGAGTAGAAGGTGGAACTGAAGACACCTTGTGAGGAAGTGAAAGGGGTGGGGAAGGGAGATGTCACTAAAAAAGACGTTTGCCCTCGAAGACTCCGTCTGCAGTTTCAGGGAGCGTGGAGCTTGTGGCTGAGTGGAGGTGCGAGAAGAAGATGGAAAAGATCCTCTGGAGTAAGAGGAAGAGAGCTGCTGGCCCCTAGAGTGAGAACGGGACAAAGGCTGCGTGAAGCCATACTTGTTGGCTGCCTGCAGTACTTCCTGAGACTCCTTCAAGTTGTATCAGTCTCAGGATTGACTAACCCATCATCATGAACAGGCATCTCTTCTGCCAACATTCTTCCTTCCTCTGGAAAGGTGAAGGTACACAACCACGCATGTCGCCGTATAGATGTGGCAAGGGAGAACAGCTTCCCTGCTGTATCAGCAGTGTGTTGAGCCATGTCCTTGTGAGCACAAGCAAGGACAAGAGCCTCACGATAATAAGCTTTGGCCACACTCTGTTGAGGAGATTGAAGGAGATCCAGAAATGGCCCAATTTTGTTCCACAAAAAAGTATTATAGGAAGACATGTATGCTCCATAATGCGTCATCCAAGTTGTTAGACTGGCATTGGCGTGGACCTTCTTCCCCATGGCTTCCAGCTTCTTGCCCTCCTTATCTAGAGGAGTGGGCTGAGTCTTATGGGACTGCTTACACTTGGCGACCTTCACTACCACTGTATTGGATTTAGGTGGCCGTGCTACCCAGTCTGCAGACCCAAGATCAATGCAGTAGCGTGCGTCCCATGCCCTAGAAACCACGGGTACCACTGATGGAGCCTGATCGGGCTTTTTAGTAAGCTGGAGCAAATATGGAAGGGCAGGTAAAGAGGTAGATGCCAGTGGCTGTCTAATTTGCTCATCAGGAGGAAACATAGGATCCTCCACTGGTTGCTGCTCCTTTTTTGGAGTCAAATTAAGGGCCTTAGACATACGTATCATAAGGGTCAAGAAAGCTGAAGCGTCTTTTGAAACAAGTGAGGGCTGAGGCTCAGCAGCATCTGAAGGCTGAACAGGACCTACAGAAGACCCTGAGTCAGAAAGAGATGCTGCCTCCTGCTCTCCAGCATGCGAAGGAGTATGTATCCCCTGTGGCTGCGAGAGATTTAAAGGCACAGAAGGAGGGCAGTGCTGCACAGAAGCAACATAAGCCCGTGGTTCCTGCACTGGAGTGAGATGATAAGGTCTTCCTCCAGGCGAGTAATGCACAAAGCCTCTCCCCTAAGAGGGAGAGCGGTGCCCCTCAGGCTGATGTGCCACTGGGGAGACATAATGGCCATATGGCCCTGGGCTCCGGCCTCGAGAGGTCCAAGAATGCAGGAGAGCTTGGGGCGGGCCCGAAGAGGAAGACGTTGGCGGCAAGGCCTGCTCCAACAAGGGAGACTGCGGCGCTGGTGAAGTACGCTGCCAGCCAGGCGGCGGGGAGCACAGATGGCAGCGGGAGTCAGAAACGCTTCTGCTTCTTCTTTCCTCCTGTCTTCAGTGGAGAAGGAGTTCTTGCATGCACACCCTTTCTCTTTGAGGTAGGTGGCTGCACAGTCAGAACCTGTAAAGAAGAGTCAGGAGGCTCTGAGGTAACTCGGCGCCCAGATGCTGTATGAGAAGAGCCTTCTCATACAGCACATTTTTAAGCTGCTGCTCTCTGCTCTTTCTTGCCTGGGGCGTAAAAGCCTTACAGGCAGAGCAAGTTTGCACTGAATGTGCTTCCCCCAAACAAATTACACACATAGTGTGGCCGTCTGAGTCAGGGAGCGTTTCCCCACAAGACACACACTTTTTAAGCATAGCCATAATACAGACCAGGTCAGGGCACCAGAAAGTAGAGGAAACACAGTTCAAGTCAGGGTTGGAGAAAAGAGAATAATCCGAAGAAACAAGTGGTATATTTAAAGTACAGTCAGAGAGGTTCCCAAATGCTGCTGTTTAGGCGGCTGGAAAAAAAAGGAACTACACTTACAGCCCCTCATCTGGCTTATATGCCTCAAGGGGAAGAGGGGCGGGGCGGCAGCCACAAGCCTTGTCAGCTTGTCAAGAGTTTTTCAATGATTGCTGCACAGGTGCATCAACTATCACATGTGCTCATTTCAACAGACATCATGAAGAAGAAATAAATAAATAAACAAATAAATAAATTTAAACTGTATATTGTTGTTAAGGCATTGAATTACTGAATCCCCTCCAGGGTAGGGAAAAGCAGGATATAAATATAGTACATAAATAAATAATAAACAAATTCATTAGGTTCTGTGTATAGCGCCTGCATTTTCTACTGGAAAATGCTTTTAACACATTCTATTAAGTAATAATAATAGTAATAATAAAGAAAATTTTATTTGTATCCCACCACCCTCTCCCCAAAGGGACTCGGGGAGGCTCACAAAAAAAAAAACACTAAATAGTGCAACCATATACAAATACAGCAAAATACAAAATGATATAAACCAACAACAATGTAAATTTACCCAACAGTTTTACCTTGATTTAAAAGATACAATAAAACCCAGCAAAGGCTGCAGATACAGCATCTGTATACAATATCAGCCCCATAAGCCCCTACCCTAGAAACCTTTAAAAAGAACCTTAAAACCTGGCTCTTCTGCTGCGCCTTTGGTGAGTAAATATACAACTTCACACTATTGCTTAGCCTCAACATTCTGTCATTGGAGTATACGTGCCCCCCCCCCTTTGTGGGAAAGCCTGATTCCACAACCCCCGTTTTAATGAGCCTTCTCCGCAAATAACCTGCTTCTCCTTATCTCACTCGAGTTTTTAATCAGTTTTTAATCAGTTTTCTTTTAATCATTACATATAGCCCACCCATTGTCATTGTGATTGTGTTTATTGTAATTTTATATCATTATGTATTCATATGTGTTATGTAATTATGATGTTGTTCATTGTTTGCGTGTTCAGTTTTATTCTGATGCAATTTGTTGTCTGGGCTTGGCCTCATGTAAGCCGCTCCGAGTCCCCAGCAGGGAGATGGTGGCAGGGTATTAATAAAGATTTTTATTATTATTATTATTATTATTATTATTATTATTATTACTATTATTATCATTGGTCCTCGGATTTAGTAATTAAGGCACTAACCACTAATAAGCCATGTTTTGAGGTGTGTGCGGAAAACTTGGAGAGTTGGGACTAACCTACCGTATATACTCGAGTATAAGCCGACCTGAATATAAGCCAAGGCACCTAATTTTATCACAAAAAAATGGGAAAACTTACTGACTCGAGTATAAGCCAAGGGTGGGAAATGCAGCAGCTACTGGTAAATTTCAAAATAAAAATTAATGCAAATAAAATTCCATGAATTGAGACATCGATAGGTTCAATGTTTTTGAATGTACAGAAAACTGTAATTTGAGATAAGACTGTCCAACTCTGATGAAATCATTTTTTTAACCTTCTTCAATGTCAATGTGCTTACGTATCCTTCCAATAACCACCATAGTTTATTTTAACTAAACATTATGGGGAAAATGCTGCGTGTATACAAATAAGGATAAGTGGGAAAGGCTGGCGCCGAGAGAGGAGGAGAGGAAGGGGCGCGCTGTACCAAGAGAGGAGAGCATGGAGGTGTATTTTATACTGTCTTGTTATATATGCCAATAAAGGCTTATTGGATTGGAGGAAGGTGCGCACTATGCCAAGAGAGGAGGAGAGGAAGTTGCACACTGTGTGAAAGAGGAGGAGAGCTGGGTTGCTGTGCAGAGAGGTGATGGTCCTGGCAGGACGGTGTGGGGCTGAAAGAATTTATTTATTTATTTATTTATTTATTTACTTACTTACTATATTTGTATACCGCCCTTCTCAGCCTGCAGGTGACTCAAGGTGGTTTACAGAGGCAACAATTCAATGCCCAACAACACCATAAAACATTTAAAAACATTAACATCTATATAAGTAAAAAGGTAATGTTCGTTTGTGGGATTAACAGAACTCAAAAACCACTGGACGAATTGACACCAAATTTGGACACAAGACACCTAACAACCCAATGTATGTCCTTCACTCAAAAAAATTGATTTTGTCATTTGGGAGTTGTAGTTGCTGGGATTTATAGTTCACCTACAGTCAAAGAGCATTCTGAACCCCACCAACGATGAAATTGAACCAAACTTGGCACACAGTTCTCCCATGACCAACAGAAAATACTGGAAGGGTTTGGTGGGCAGTGTCCTTTGGTTTTGGAGTTGTAGTTCACTTACATCCAGAGAGCACTGTGGACTCAAACAATGATGGATCTGGACCAAACTCTACATGAATACTCAATATGCCCAAATGTGAACACTGGTGGAGTTTGGGGAAAATAGAATCTTGACATTTGGGAGTTGTAGTTGCTGGGATTTGTAGTTCACCTACAATCACAGAGCATTTTGAACCCCACCAACGATAGAGTTGGGCCAAACCTCCCACACAGAACCCCCATGACCACCAGAGTGGGCCACAGCAATGCAGGGGACGGCTAGTATAATATAAAACCATACCAAGATCAGTAAGACATAAATCATTTGCATCTCCTATTCAAAACGTTGTCCAATCTCATCATCCAGTTGTTTCATATTCCCCCTGTTGCGCCAACTCCACTGGCTACCGATCTGCTACCGGGCTGAATTCAAAGTGCTGGCGTTGGCCTTTAAAGCCCTAAACGGTTCCGGCCCAAGCTACCTATCTGACCGCATCTCTGCCTATGAACCCACCAGGACTTTGAGATCTTCCGGGGAGCCCCTGCTCTCGATCCCGCCTGCTTCTCAAGCTCGGCTGGCGGGGACGAGAGATAGGGCCTTCTCGGTGGTGGCTCCTCGGCTGTGGAACGCCCTTCCTACGGACATTAGACTAGCACCATCTCTAATGGTATTCCGCAAAAAGGTGAAGACCTGGTGTTTGTGCAGGCGTTTGAGTAATTTAGTGCAATCTGGTAATGGAACATAGGAATGGAACAATGGACGACGAACCTGGACTACGCTTGGATGATGAGAAGATTGGGTACTGTTGTTTTTTGTAATAATTGTGCATTGTAATTGCTTATTGGTAATTTATGGATAATGTGTTAAGTCAATTGTTATATGTTGTATGGAACCACTGCTGTTTCTACTGTTTTTACTGTTTGTGAACCGCTGTGAGTCGCCTTCGGGCTTGAGATACAGCGGTATATAAGCAAAGTAAATAAATAAATAAATTTTCAAACGCTTGCACAAAAAGCCAAGTCTTGACTTTTTTCCAGAATGGTAAAAGGGAGGGGGCCGATTTAATGTCCCTAGGAAGGACGTTCCATAGCCGTGCGGCCACCACTGAGAAGGCCCTGTCTCTCATCCCTGCCAAATGTATTTGTGACGCAGGTGGGATCGAGAGCAGGGCCTCCCCAGACAATCTGAACATCCTAGAAAGCCCTTATTTCAGCCCCACACCTTCCTGCCAGGACCCTAACCCGCATATAAGTCAAAGGGGGCTTTTTCAGTTTTAAAAGGCTGAATAATTAGGCTTATTCTCGAGTATATACAGCAATCTCTTTAGGGAGGGCATTCCAAAGCCGGGGAGACACTACAAGAAGGCCCAATCTCTTGCCCACACCAACTGCAATTCAGACTGAGGCAGAATTGAAAGGGGGGCTCCCTAGCAGATCTCAGGGCCCACGATAGTTCATAGAAGGAAATGCAGTCTCAAAGATAGATTGGATCTAAACTGTACAGAGCTTTGTAGGCAATAACCTACAAAATATTTTGAACACTCTTACACATAAGAACACACATCCTTAAAATTCTCTGACCAGAACACAATATAAGCAGCTGTTTTTATTAGAAGTGGGAGGGGCAATTTCCCCTTTCCAACAAGGACTCTTATGGACTTCCAAATCCCATTATGGGGTCTAGGGAACCTTGTAATGCCATTTTGTTTTGTTAATGCCAAAGGCTCCAGGTCGAAAGAGAGGAAAAAACTTCTGTTGTGTTTAGCTTTAGACCTTTATAAAAGAGCAAGAGACTCACATTTGCCGGAGATCTTCTGGCACGTCAAGTTTGATTTTATGAAACGTATCCTTTGTTGCAGGTTTGTTGGGATTCACAGATCTTAAGCGCTCAATTGTGACAATTTCATTGTAGGTAGCATCACAAGCTGCATATTCTATTACATAAAACTAATGGGGGGGGGGGGAGGGAAAGAACACAAACGTCTAAGACACTGTTTAACTGAGAAGCGATGAGAAATTATTCTATTTTACATATGAGCAGGCCTTCTGATTACTTTGGAGGAAAACAGATTTTTTAGCTTCAGTGTATAGATTAAATTAGAAATGGCTCAATAAATGACAAAGTATTTTGAAAAAAAAAGACCCCCAAATACTTTAAAACACAGAAACCACCCTCAACATAAAAACCATAGTATTAATATAGATATATATATTCCTACCTCACCCTTTATCATTCTCACTTTAGCCAGCCACCAGCAACATGGTTCCTTTTCATTAGCCCTGGAATAAACCTAAACAAAATCATAGTGTATAACATTGGATTGTCAAGCATAAAGATACTGTCAACTAGCGGAGAGGCAATACATCAAAACAGTAATGTCACCACGATATTGGGAAGCAGGAGCTACAGAGAATGGGGCTATCATTATTTTCACTGACCCATATCAAATGTTTTTTAAAATATACCTTTTCTTGTATAAATAAGGAATCGAATCTATGTACAGCTACATAATAATGAAAGAGAAGCAAAATAAAATAACATAAAATGCATCATTGCATAATGCAAATGTGAAACAACTTTTGCATCCACTTAGGTGATTTCAGGTAGCTTTTTAAAGTTTGTGCATTGCCATTTATCAATGAAGCAGCTCTCATTAAGCAAAGCCTATGTTCTTAACCCCCCCTCCCCCACATGTTATTGCTATTTTTCCTCCACATAAAAATGTGGATTATGACCATTCTTACCTCCACTTCATCACTTTCATTTATATCTTTATTGTACCCCGTAGGTGGAGGAAACCTGACATCGTGGAATGGAATCTGTCTCTCTGGCTGCCAGCTAAAATACATAATAAAAACTCAAGGTATTAAAAGATAACTAACACAAGGTAGAAAGATAAGCAAAGACTGGTGACCAAAATCTGGGGAAAACAAATACAAAACTTCCTTTTCATTAAGAGTTGCAAATTATGCTTCGCCTTAAGCACTTACCTGACAGCTACAGACTGTAGCAAAGGAGGAATAAAGTACTACATCCCATTCTCTCCATCTGGGAATGAGATCAATTGAACAACTCTAGCACAGCTGGTTAATCGGGCTGGGCTGTAGCACAGCTGGTTAATCGACAGCAGAAATAGATCACTGCCAACTGGAAGGTTGCCCATTCGAAGTCCAAGTCAGATTGAGCACCCGACCATCAGACTAAGCTCACTGTTCACCTAAGCAGTTTGAAAGCAGCTGAGTTGGGAGTAGATAAATTAAACACCGCTTTAGCGGGAAAGTATTTTATGACACCATAAAATGCTGGCGATCAAAGAACAAGGAGGGAGTGACGTACATCACCACCCAAAGACTATCAAAACGTTACAACCACATGACAAATACATGCTGGAAATGTGGAAAACAAACGGACACTTTCTATGATTTATGGTGGGACTTGTGATAAAGCCAAGAAATTTTGGAGGGAAATTCATGAAAAAACACAGAAAATACTACAAATTAATTTTAAATTAGACCCCAAATTGTATTTACTAGGAATTATAAATTTGCAAAAGATTAAAGAGTGTGAACCCCTGTTCCATTACTTATCAACAGCTGCTAGAATAACTTAGAATGTAGAAACATCTTCGATGGACCAATGGATTGTGAAGCTGATGGAGATTATGAACATGGGCAGATTGACAAATTTAATGACAACATTTCAACAGAAAAAGAAACTTCAGATAGACTGGTCAATGGTAAAAAACTATCTTAGAAAGGAAAATATCAAAGTTATGATATAAAGATATTACAGATCACTCAGTTAGACAGAAGGATTAATACTATATAGGTAAAAGTAATACTATATAGGTAAAAGACATAGTAGATATAGAAAGAACGGTTGGGTTTTTGAAAAAAAAAATGAATACATAAACTAACTCTAAGACTTGATGCCACCACCAAGAAGCAGATGGAAGTCAAAACACAGAAACAATTTTTTAAAATTTTTCTCTCTTATTTCCCACTTTCCTATCCCTCACAAAATATTCTATCTCTTTCCATGTAATGAAATAACTTTCAATAATAATTATTAAAAAACAAAACAAAGAACAAGGAAGGAAATCCTACAATCAAAAAGGCCAGGTCGTCACAGTGGATGGAGCGACAGCTGGAATAAATCAAACCTCCAGGCACCAAAGTTGGAAAATGCCGAAATACCTCTATCTGTCTGTCTGGTATGTCTAAAAACGGCACTGAATGTTTGTCGTGTATGTGTGCATTGTGATCCGCCCTGAGCCCACTTCAGGGTGAGAAGGGCGGAATATAAATTTATTTATATTTATCTATTTATTTAGATAAATAGATAAATAACTGGTTGGAAATACAGCATACTCTCCTTTGTCCTTAGTACAGAAATGCAGAAATTTATTAGAGTGATGGAATTATCTGTAACTTCTCTGCCAACACCTCTGTATGTGGGCTGTTGAATTATGTTGGCTTACTTACAAGCACGCCTTAACTGAAGCTGTTTTATGAACCAACTAACCACAAAAGTATGAGCAACAAGGACAATGGGACAGTTATAGCTCCCCTTTTAAACTGCCTTGAACAGTCAGGATTATTTTAAATATATGTGCTATTGTGGTTTTCAATGCTTATTTGGTCTTGTTAATTTTATGTTCATGCTGTTCTCTTTGTATGTATTGATTATGTCACTTGGAAACCGCTCTGAGTCCCCTTGGGGAGATAGAGTGGTATATAAATAAAGTTTTGTTGTTGTTCTTCTTCTTAATAAATGTCCTGGAAGCTGGTCATTAAATGATTCCAATTAATTTGCTATCTTTCACTGAAATGTTACTGCTCACCAATACAAAATAAGGCAACTGTGGTCTGTTCAACCACCCTCCTTGTGGAAAGCACCATTGATATCTGACAGTAATGACAAGAGAATGATTATACTGATTCCCTTTCTGCTTCATAATTAGTTTAAGGGAAAGAACATAAAGAGAGAAGTAACCAAAATACTACCCATGTGGAAAACCAAAAAAAAAAAAAAAAAAAGTAGTGTGAGATTCTGAAAGACAAAAATGTAGAGAAAAGAATACTCCCATGTGATGGAAAGAGTTAGAAGACAGATGTGTTGTAGAGATCCTGGAGTTAATGTGAAAAAGAACAATAACATAGGTATTCTGGTTTGTCCATTGAGATAACCAACCCTGTCTAATTATTCCAATCTTTCATAACAGTTCTGATGTTTGTCGTACTGTCTACTTACATTTGCTGAATTCTGAAGCAAAGGAAGATTTTTTAATGAAATACACTCTATTTATATCATGTCTCGCAAAATATATTTGTTTGGTTCATCCAAGTGGTGTGATCTTAACTTGACCCAATCCTTCCCAAAGTTTAATATCTCAAAACTATGGCAGAGCTTCTAGGCTTCAGTCTTTAAAATATTTAATTTACCTGCAACTACATGTTAGAATGGTGATATCTAACATTTCAAACACTATTACACACATATGAACTTGAATATTATCCTAATAATATTGAAAGCACCAATCCTAAATATGTCACCTGCATTTTTTATGGATTTCAATACAGCATACTCGCTAAGGATTTTTGCATGCTGGTCATGTAAGGTGAAGAGAGAATGGTTTTCAGTGAGTCCATATGCATGAGGTACATCACTTTTATGCTTGGGGAAAATAGAATTGGACCATCTAGGCACTGCACATGTAAGATGCACTTAAGTAAATGACGTTCAATTGGGCAGCCTACTCTAAAGGGACAACTAAGGCTAGTCCTTGAATTTATTGTTGCATAATATCATATATCTTACAAAGACAACTAACTGACTTGAACTGATGTTTGAACCATTTGAGGTACAATGAAATACTGTATAATGTAAATCCTGAAATTGATTAATAGCCAAAAGACCAGCAAACATCAAGCTATACAATCACTGGCTATCACTATGCAGGGGAGTTTTTGGACTGAGTCCAATTGTTAATTCAACAACAACAGCAGCAGCAACATTTATTATGGTCCACAGATCCATCAGTAAAACCACCAGCCATTATAAAATCTCTCATCTCAGGAGAAGTCCATTGTACAAGATACAACTACGTGATTTCGAGTAATGCCCCATCGGCGGTTAGTTGCTTTCTCAGGCTTGTTGTCACTGCGAGGAGTTTTGCCACTTTGAGAGTCAGCCTGTGGTACTAAAAGATATCTAACAATCCTCTGAGGGGGATGGCTGGTCATGTGGGACAAGATTGGATATAAAAGCTGGCTACATTGCACTGTGTAGTAATGAGGGCAAGCAAACTGAAGTTGAATCCAGACAAGACAGAGGTCCTCCTGGTCAGTTGCAAGGCCAAACAGGGTATAGGATCGCAACCTGTGCTGGATGAGGTTACACTCCCTTTGAAGTCACAGGTTTGCAGCTTGGGAGCTCTCCTGGATTCATCACTGAGCCTGGAATCCCAGGTTGCAGCGGTGGCCAGGGGAGCGTTCGCACAATCAAAACTTGTGCACCAACTGCGCCCGTACGTTGGGAAGTCAGACTTGGCAACGGTGGTCCACGCTCTCGTTACATCTAGGATAGACTACTGCAACACTCTACGTGGGGTTGCCTTTGAAGACTGTTTGGAAGCTTCAAATATTCCAATGAGAGGCAGCCAGGTTAATAACTGGGGCGGCATACAGGGAGCATACAACTCCCATGTTACCGTAGCTCCACTGGCTGCCAGTTTGCTACCGGGCAGAATTCAAAGTGCTGGCTTTGGCCTATAAAGCCCTAAATGTCCTCGGCCCTAATTACTTCTCCAAACGCATCTCCCCCTATGAACCATCGTGGAGATTAAGATCCTCCTGGAAGGCCCTGCTTTCCGTCCTGCCATTGTCACAGGCACGTTTGGTGGGGACGAAAGACAGGGCTTTCTCGGTGATTGCTCATCGGCTATGGAACTCCCTTCCTGGTGAGATCAGGTCAGCCCCCTCCCTCCTGTCCTTTGGAAGGATGGTAAAAACTTGGCTGTGGGACCAAGCTTTGGGGACAGGGAAATAAAGCAGCAATAGGAAAGATGACCAGGCCAATTCGATTTGACGCGGATGTCTAGGACAGTTTTAAATGGTGTATTTTAATATTATGATAATTTTTTTTTTATGTTTATGTATTGTATGTGAATTTGTGTCCCGGCACTGAATGTTTGCAGTGTATATGCTGTGCTCCGCCCTTAGTCCCCTTCGGGGTGAGAAGGGCAGAATAGAAATGCTTTAAATAAATAAATATAAATAAATAAATAAAGGCACTGCAATAAAATGTGTTCTATTGTTTCTATTTCATTTCCTCCCTAGGGGCATAGTCTTTGGGAGTAAGGCATTCCAGACAGTCTGCCCCTTAACAGCTCTGCGGGAAATACATTTAATCTCCCCTTCATAAAGAGTCTGCAATATTTAGTCACTGTAAGACTTTTTAGATATTTGCATGTCTTGAATGGCTCCCTGTATGGTAAATTTAGAACTCTCGAGAGCATGGTGAATTTGAGTGGGCTCTAGGCTCTCTCAGGGCAATGTTCTGCAACCTTTTTTTTCCCAGGGATTTTTCTTGCACCATTTTGAGTCCGAAATGGAGAAGAAGTCATGTGGATAGTCCAAATGAGGCTGCTTTTCATTCAGTCCTCCATGCCCAAAGGGGTACGGAGGCTTCATAGCGGAGGTGATGTAGTAAACCTGTTCCCAGTTGTTTTTAACCATAGGTTAATTTTCAGAGTCCAGGCCCTAGTTCCCGCCTGTGGAACTCATTCCCCGGGGAAATTAGGTCATCTTCATCCCTCCTCACCTTTAGAAAAAAGTTAAAAACGTGGATGTGGGACCAGGCCTTGGGGTAATTAAGTGGACAATGACAATAACAATGTTGACAATGGTTTGGAAATGGATTATGGAGCATTCAACCACAGTTTTCAGCTAATAATGGCCACCAGAGTCGTAATTCTTAGTAGATTTTAATTGATTGTTTTAACTATTTATAATTATTAACTGTTTGTTTTTACTATGGGTCGGCTTCTACTCAAGTAGAAGCCGACCCAAATATAAACTGAGGCACCTAACTTTACCACAAAAACTGGGAAAACATATTGTCTTGACTATAAGCCGAGAGTGAGAAATGCAGCAGTGCCTGGTATATTTCAAAAGAAAAACAGATACCAATAAAATTGCATTAATTGAGGCATCAGAAGGTTAAATGTTTGTGAATATTTACATAACACTGGAATTTTAGATAAGACTGTCCAACTAAGCATCTTCAATGTGCTTATGTATTCTTCCAATAATAATAAAGAAACATAATAAATTGAATAATAATAATTAATAGAGTAAAATAATGGAAATGTAATAACAGTAATAATAGAGTAAAATCATAAATGTAATAATAACAATAATAAATAGATTAAAATAATCTGTAATAATAGAGTAAAATAATACATGCAATAACAACAATAGTAGAATAAAATAATAATGTAATAATAGAGTAAAATGATAAATGTAATAAAAATAATAACAGATTAAAATAATAACCTGAGTATAAGCCGAGAGGAATATTTTCAGCCTATAAAAAGGGCTGAAAAACTAGGCTTATACTCGAGTATATACAAATCCTCAATATATTGAGGCATCGAATTGCTGCTGATTGGAAGCCACCCTGAGTCCCTCCCAGGGGGTTGAGAAAGTCGGGGTATAAATATTCAAAACAAATGAATAAATACTCAGCATTCACCCGTTTCTAGAAACAAGACCACATTAGGCACGCAAGTAGGCACATTTAGAAGATCTCTTAAAAACCTTCCGTGTACTTTATCTAGATTGTTAATTCTATCTAGAATCGACCCATTACCTTAATTTGTATGTAAACAATTACAATTTTATGAGTTTGAGACCAACCACTGGATTTAATCCAGGAGTGGGAATCATGCAAATGACTAGATCCATGATGGCGAACCTATGGCACGCGTGTCAGCACTGACACGCCTGGCCATTTTCTATGACACGCGGCCACATGCGGCTGCCTACAGAGAAGGATAGGGCTGCATCAGGGGCGGCTGAAGCAACTTACGCATTTGCCAAATCCCTGGCTGTGGGCTGCTTGCTTGCTCGCTTCTCCGAGCGGGCGAAAGAGAGGGAAAGGAGAGAGAAAAACAGTGTGCTGTCTCTTTAAGGCAGGAGCGCATCTCGGGGGGAAAGAATCCTTCAGCCCCGCCCCTCGGCTGCCAATCACCCGGCGGCGCCTTTGATCTGGTGGCCGCGTTTGGCCGAGGGAGGCAGGCGCGCGCTTGGTTGCTGGGGTCTTTTTTTCTCCTCAGCTAAACCTCTCTGTTCCAGGAGCATTCTCTCCTGACGTTTCTCTCATATCTTATGGCAGGCATCCTCTGAAGTTTGTTGGAAACTAGGCAAGTGGGGTTTATGCCTGTGAAATAACGTCCAGGGTGGGAGAAAGAACCCTTGTCTGTTGGAGGAAATTGTGAATGTTGCCATTGGCCAGTTTGATTAGCGTTGAATGGCTTTGCAGCTTCAAAGCCTGGCTGTGGAAGGTCCAGGGTGGGAGAAAGAACTCTTGTTTGTTGGAGGCAAGTGCGAATGTTGCCATTGGCCAGCTTGACTAGCATTGAATGGCCTTGCAGATTCAAAGTCTGGCTCATTCCTGCTCAGGGGAATCCTTTGTTAGGAGGTGTTAGCTGGGCATGACTGTTTCTTGTCTGGAATTTCCCTGTTTTTTAGGGTTTATATATCTGTGGAATAGCATCCAGGGTGAGAGAAAGAACTGTTGTCTGTTGGAGGCAAATGTGAATGTTGCAATTGACCATTTTGATTAGCCTTGAATGGCCTGGCAGCTTCAAAGTCTGGCTCCTTCCTGCTCAGGGGAATCCTTTGTTGGGGTGTTAGCTGGGTCTGACTGATTCTTGTCTGGAATTCCTCTGTTTCCTGAGTGTTGCTATTTCTTTACTGTCCTAATTTTAGAGTTTTTAAAATACTGGTAGCCAGATTTTGTTCATTTTCATGGTTTCCTCCTTTCTGTCGAAATTGTCCAGATGCTTGTGGATTTCAAGGGCTTCTCTGTGTAGTCTGACATGGCTTTACTCACCATTTTTCCCTCCACGTACTTTTGTGAGACCTTATTCTCAGTGTTAAATAATATCAAAACCATCAAAGAAACAGATTGACAGATGATGTTAGTAGCACTTGCTTGGGCTTGAAGTGTACAAAATACAAACCTTCAATTGAACATTTAGTCAATGAAATTCAGCAACAAAAAAGTCACTAATAGGTAGCTTAGTTAAAGAATTTATCCTCCCATTATGCATTTTTGTTATTTAAACTATAAATATTGCAAAATTATGGGGCTTTTTCTCAAAGTGGCACCCCACCTGAATTATGCTCTTTTTTTTTGGCGGATTTTGACACACCAATCTGAAAAGGTTGCCCATCACTGGACTAGATCCTAGTATTTAGCATTCCTCACAGGGGATACAGTGGGTAGAACTGCTGGGATATATGATTTCTAAATTTGATTCATGCTGTGTGTAACTCCTTATTTTTGTCATGTGGGAAACTTTGCCCTTGCCATCAATATCGCTTGCAAATGTGTGCTTCTACAATTTAAAGAAAATGGAGGCAGTGTCAGTAAACAGCTTTCACCATAAGCAGTTGCCTTGACAGCAGGTTATTTAAATTCACTGAACACACAAGACATTTTTAATATTATATGCAATTCACAAATACACTTCACAAGTCAGCATGTAGACCATACGTACTTATTCTCAAATGCAACAGTTATGGAATCCTCATGAACATCCTTCACAAATGCCTGTAAAAAAAAAAGAAGGAAGACTTAACAACAATAGTACACTAATGAACTCTGGAGATTTCTACTGAATGATATGATAATGCATTTGTTCTAAATATAAAATACTGACATCACAACGAGTGCTGTCTAAAGTAATATCTATGTATACCATAAATATTTTATGAGGATTTGAGATGGGCTGGATGCATAAAACAGGCATGGCAAAGGGATTGGGGAAAGACCCAAAAATGTCAAGAGAAAGGTATGAAACAAACATGCACGAGAGCAAAGGTTCTCAACCTGTGGGTCCCAAAGTGTTTTGGCCTACAACTCCCAGAAATCCCAGCCAGTTTACTTGCTGTTAGGATTTCTGGGAGTTGAAGGCCAAAACATCTGGGGACCCACAGGTTGAGAATCACTGTGTTAGACTCGAGGGAGAAAACCAAAGAATTTTGCTCTTGCATGTTTACCATACAGCCATCCCAAAAACATTCCTAATGACACATGTATAAAACAAGAGTATCAACACACAATACTGTAAGGTATACAAGTTTTCTCCATTGGTGGATTAAAAGGAAGCAAAGAAAGTGCCGGAGCATATAAGACGACTGGGCATCTAACTATTCCAATTAAAATATATAGAATATACCCGCCGTATAAGACTACCCCTCGTCCAACGCACACCAAATAAAAATTTAAAATCCAGATTTGATTTCAATTTGGCTATTTTCCTATTACTGTAGAATCATAGAATCATAGAATCAAAGAGTTGGAAGAGACCTCATGGGCCATCCAGTCCAACCCCCTGCCAAGAAGGAGGTATTGCATTCAAATCACCTGACAGATGGCCATCCAGCCTCTGTTTAAAAGCTTCCAAAGAAGGAGCCTCCACCACACTCCGGGCAGAGAGTTCCACTGCTGAACGGCTCTCACAGTCAGGAAGTTCTTCCTCATGTTCAGATGGAATCTCCTCTCTTGTAGTTTGAAGCCATTGTTCCGCGTCCTAGTCTCCAGTGAAGCAGAAAACAAGCTTGCTCCCTCCTCCCTGTGGCTTCCTCTCACATATTTATACATGGCTATCATATCTCCTCTCAGCCTTCTCTTCTTCAGGCTAAACATGCCCAGTTCCTAAGCTGCTCCTCATAGGGCTTGTTCTCCAGACCCTTGATCATTTTAGTCGCCCTCCTCTGGACACATTCCAGCTTGTCAATATCTCTCTTGAATTGTGGTGCCCAGAATTGGACACAATATTCCAGTGTGGTCTAACCAAAGCAGAATAGAGGAGTAGCATTACTTCCTTAGATCTAGACACTATGCTCCTATTGATGCAGGCCAAAATCCCATTGGCTTTTTTTGCCGCCACATCACATTGTTGGCTCACGTTTAACTTGTTGTCCACGAGGACTCCAAGATCTTTTTCACACGTACTGCTCTCGAGCCAGGCCTCCCCCATTCTGTATCTTTGCATTTCGTTTTTCCTGCCAAAGTGGAGTATCTTGCATTTGTCACTGTTGAACTTCATTGTGTTAGTTTTGGCCCATCTCTCTAATCTGTCAAGATCGTTTTGAATCCTGCTCCTGTCCTCTGGAGTATTGGCTATCCCTCCCAATTTGGTGTCGTCTGCAAACTTGATGATCTCCGCTCGTCACTTCTTTCCACGATGAAGAGGAAGCATTGGTGAGCACCCTCTGGGTTCGTCCATTTAACCAATTACAGATCCACCTCACCGTAGTTTTGCCTAGCCCACATTGGACTAGTTTCCTTGCCAGAAGGTCATGGGGGACCTTGTCGAAGGCCTTATTGAAATCCAGGTACGCCACATCCATGGCATTCCCCACATCTACCCTGCTTGTAACTCTATCGAAAAAAGAGATCAGATTAGTCTGGCATGACTTGCTTTTGATAAATCCATGTTGACTATTAGCAATGACCGCATTTGTTTCTAAGTGTTTGCAGACCACTTCCTTAACAATCTTTTCCAGATTCTTGCCTGGTATTGACGTGAGGCTGACCGGACGGTAGTTGTTTGGGTCATCCTTTTTTCCCTTCTTGAAGATTGGGACCACATTGGCCCTCCTTCAGTCTGATGGAACTTCTCTTGTTCTCCAAGAACTCTCAAAGATGGTTGCCAATGGTTCCGAAATGACTTCCACTAGTTCCTTCAATACTCTTCAGTGTAGTTGATCTGGCCCTGGGGACTTGAACTCATTAGAGCGGCCAGGTATTCCTGTACGACTTGTTTCCCAATTTGGAGTTGGATGTCCTCAAATTACTCATCCACTCCGTCTTGCTGAGGTTGAAGATGACTTTCGTTTTGTGAGAAGACCGAGGCAAAGAAGGTATTAAGTAATTCTGCCTTTTCCCTATCCCCTGTCAGCATTGCCCCATCTTCTCCTCGAAGAGGCCCTATCGCCTCCTTGTTTTTCCTTTTTCTACTGACATAAGAAAAGAAGCCCTTTTTATTGTTTTAATGTCCCTGGCAAGCCTGAGCTCGTTTTGTGCTTTAGCCTTGCGGACCTTTTCCCTACAGGTGTTGGCTATTTGTTTGAATTCTTCTTTGGTGATTTCTCCCTTTTTCCACTTCTTGTGCATGTCTCTTTTGTGTCTCAGCACAGTTAGAAGTTCTTTGGACATCCATTCTGGCTTCTTTGCACTTGTCCTATTTTTTCTTTTTGTTGGCACGGTTTGCAACTGCGCCTTGAGTATTTCACTCTTGAGAAACTCCCATCCATCCGTAACTCCCTTGTCTTTTAGTATCTGTGTCCACGGAATGCTGCTCAGCGTTTCCTTCATTTTTTGGAAATCAGCTCTCCTAAAGTCCAAAATGCGGGTTTGACTTGTCTTAGTTTTGGCCTTCCTTTGTATCTCAAATTGCAGGAGCACATGGTCACTTGCCCCTAAGGATCCTACCACTTCAACCGCATCAATCAGGTCCTCCGCATTTGTTAGGATGAGATCAAGAGTAGCCAATCCCCTTGTTGCCTCTTCTACCTTCTGGACCATGAAATTGTCTGCAAGGCAAGCGAGGAATTTTTGGACTTTGTACTCTTGGCCGAGTTTGTTTTCCAGCAAATATCGGGATAGTTGAAATCGTCCATGACTACTACATCTCATCTCTGTGCCTGTTTGGTCAACTGTTGGCAGAAGACTTCATCAAGTTCTTTCTCCTGGCTTGGAGGTCTGTAGTAGACACCTACAACGAGATCTTTTTGAGTCCCAGTTCCCTGAATTCTTATCCAGATGCTTTCAAGCTGGTTTCCCAGATATCTGTCTTGCATCTCTTCTGCAGCATAAGGGTTTTTGACATATAAGGCTACTCTGCCTCCTCTCCCCTTTGTTCGGTTTCTGTGGTAGTGGTTATAGCCCTCGATGTCTACATTCCAGCGATAGGAGTCATCCCACCAGGTTTCAGTGATGCCTATGATATCATATTTGTGGTGTTGTGCCAAAAGTTGGAGTTCGTCATGTTTATTTCTCATGCTCTGTGCATTAGTGTAAAGACATGTGAGCCCCTGAGATCTTCCCCTGAGCTGTTTAATTGGGATTATTGTGCTTTCGGTACTTGGTCCTTTTTGTGTTTGTGCAGCCCTCCGTTTAGCCTTCTGGCGGTTCCCTGACATTGTGGGTAAAGTAGTGTTCGCAAGGCTGTTGTCCCCCTCCCCCAGTGGGCCTAGTTTAAAGTGTGCCTAATGAGGTTTGCGAGTCTGTGAGCAAAAAGGTGTTTTCCTACTTGTGTGAGATGCACCCCATCCCTTGCCAGTAGACCATCCTCCTGGAAAAGCAGGCCATGGTCAAGGAAGCCAAAGCGTTCCTCCTGACACTATTTTCTAAGCCAGTTATTGACCAGTAGTATTTTTCTGGCCCTTGTAGGACCGTGTCTTATGACTGGGAGGAGGGATGAAAAGACCACCTGTACATTAGATTGCTTTAGCTTTGTTCCTAGAGCTCGAAAATCATTTGTGATCTTTTGAAAAGTATGCCTAGCAGTATCAATGGTTCCTACATGAATCAACATGAGGGGAGGACCGTGATGGGGCTTGAGGAGCCTGGGGAGCCTCTGAGTGATATGATGTATTTTTGCCCCCGGTAGGCAGCATATTTCTCGAGCCATCCCACCCGGTCTGGAAATGACGGCTTCCGTTCCTCTAAGGAGGGAGTCACCTACTACCAAGACCTGTTTACTTTCAGGATTGGCAGGGCCCTTTTTGCGCAGTGTAGTGTGTAGGTCCCCAGAAAAGTGATCCTGTTGGTGTGAATTGTGTAGGTGTAAAGTGTTGTCCTCCTCCTCGACATCCCCAGTCCATTCGTCAAGGACAATCCATTGAGATTCGTCCAAGAGCCTAGCGTTCTCCTGTATGTGTTCCTCTTGCACCTGGTCTGTGGTTGGGGATGGTACACCTGCATGATTGTGTAAGTGTAAATGTTGTGAAGTCCCAATCAGGGCTATCCCCCACACACTGATCAAGGACGAGCCACTGATCAGTATCTAAGCCATTCTGTACCTCCTCCTCTGCCTCTCAGATCTCGCACATGCGCACCTGCACTGCTTCACTGTCTTCAGGAGCGAGATCTGAGAGGCAGAGGAGGAGGTATGGTAATAGGATACAAGGGCGGGCCAGACAGGTAAAAGAGGTGTGTTTTTCTGGGCCCAGAGCCACTCTATCTCTTTTTTCCATACCCCGGGCGCCTCGGACACCTGCAACTTGCTCCGCCCTTCACTTACACCAGTGGTTCTCAACCTGGGGTCCCCACATGTTTTTGGCCTACAACTCCCAGAAATCCCAGCCAGTTTTTAGCAGCTGTAAGGATTACTGGGAGTTGAAGGCCAAAAACATCTGGGGACCCCAGGTTGAGAACCACTGACTTACACCTTCCCAGTGAGGCGCCCCTTCACCTCACCATGGGGACCGCATTAAGTTCACGAATCCTAATGAATGCATTTTCTTCTACCATACTTGTACAGCATCGCCCTTAATGCTTTCATACAGTCGCTGCATACGGCACGGACGCGGCCGCTACCA